ATCTTCAAATTATATCATAGAAACTACAGTCAAACAGAAAACAGGAAATCAATGCATACTCCAAGGAATTGCACCCACCCTTTTCAATGTGCGCTGCGATCTTATTCATGACCTTTTTTTATTCATATTATCAAGGCCTATCTGCTATGATTAAAAGAAATGCGGATCACTTCCTCCAATGCTAAACCATAATAACTCAGCAGTTAGCGTTTTGCAACTATCACTCACTTTAACGCACAAATAACGCCGTGAATTCATTAGGTTACTTGCAGATGCAATTATGGCCTAAATTAGGTGGAAAACACCTTCTTTGACAGGAGGCCTAATTTGAATCGAAAATAATGTTTGTTTTTTTCCCTGAGGCCATATTCAAATGAGTAATTTCATTATCCTTCCATCAGATATTCCATCAAACGCTGAACAAAACCTTCAATTATTTTCACAATGATGACAAGCAAATTTGAAGCGAACTATTCCAGCAACACAGATGCTAACCCCAAGAGTGGTTTTGAGACAATAGTTATGGCAAACTGCATCCTCAATGCACCTTTGATGTTGTTATCCATCCTTGGTAACGCTCTTGTGTTAGTCGCCATATTGAGGACGCCATCGATTCATTCACCTTCTGTCATTTTTCTCTGCAATTTGGCTGTTACAGATCTTCTTGTGGGATTGGTGGTACAACCAGCTTATATAGCACAACAAATAGTAAGAACCGTCTCAGCACTACAAGAGGCAGTAACAGCAATGGGATTTGCTGGGTGCGGTGTTTCTCTTTGGACGATGACAGCCATCACAGTGGATCGTTTCTTAGCTCTCCATTGTCACCTGCAGTACCCAAATTTAAGGACAACAAGCCGGGCAATCTACACGATAGTAACTATTTGGTGTATTATCATGTTATTCACTTTTTCATTTATTTGGTCGCCGAGTATTTATCATTATTTTGTTGCAACTTTTGGTATCACAATTTGCCTTTTAGTTAACTTGGTTTGTTTCATCAAGATTTACCGAATTGTTCGTCGGCATCAGTTGCAAATTCATGTTCAACAACAAGCAGTGGAAAATTCAATTGATACGAATAAACAGCAAATACGACAATCAACGAGGAAAGCAAAAAATATTTTTATATATTTCCTCGCGATGATTTTATGTTACTCTCCATTTTCAATTGCTGTATTTATTTCAGGTTTTACTAGTATAGATTTAAAAGTTGTAGCGACTTTCTCACTCACTGTAGTACTCATGAACTCGTCTATCAATCCATTTTTGTTTTGTTGGCGCATGACCGAGCTCAGAGCGGCGGTTTTTAAAACAGTGAAGCTTTTTTCTTGTAGAGAAACGGATGAGAGAGTTCTAACCTAGAACTAAATCGAAACAAAGCTTTCGCAAGGTCTTGTACAAAATCTAAGGGTTCATTAGAAACAAAGTTCCCCGATCGTTGTCACCCGCACAAGGATCAATATCTCGTATTCTTGAGTTAACCTAGAAAAGAGTGGTCCTTAAGAAAGATTTTGGCTAAAAGTCTTCATTTAAAGTAAAAAGAAGGAAAGAGGAGAAATGAAATTTAAATCCCGTCAAAGATAAGAGGGACCTTTGATAATAAAACGGCGAAAGAAACTAATATAAAATTCCGTGTGTTATGATTAAATTAGGGTATAGCGATGTTCAATGCTTTTAGCTCTAACATTGTATTGTTCGAGGACAAATTAAACTTTCAATGGTTAGGAAAAAGGAAAAAAGTCATGGATGGTATACAACAAACGTCTTATAGAAGCACCATCAGTTTAAAAGATTTAAGGCTAACACCATTTTTACAATAGGCAAATGGTCATGATAGTTGATGATTGTCTCAACTATGACGCGTTTGAACACGAACTATTATGCAGTATAATCGATTAATGTGATACTCTTTTCTCTATATTTATTTGGCCGTGAAATAAATATCACTCTACCTCTGTTGCTTTACTTTTAATTTGCCTTTGGGTTTGTCGTGAATTTGGCTGAGTTTGTCAAGTTGATTGATCCAAAAAAATATCACGAATAAGGACTTTATGAACTTGTTGTGGAGCCAGACTGTAATTTGAATGGGAAGGAAAGTTAATAAATATAGCCCACAATGCTACAACTATGAATGTTATATGTTTTTTTTAAATACTCTGTGCAAGGTTTTCTCTCATTTTTCTCGAGATTTTAAAGGGATATAATGTAGCTGAGGTAAATGAAAACTTTCAGTTCATCGGTTGACTGAGAGGGAAAGTTGTTGATAGACATTACGTTAGGTAAATTTTCACCACATGGCGACAAATTTATTTCCGCGGCAATTTCAGCTGACCAGTATGTACATGCGAGCTCTTTAGCATATTCGATTAGTCTGTTTTGACATTGAATGAGGAGTTTGAGCAGAAGGAGAGGACGTTTAAAGTAAATTGGTTTCTTTTATCCATGCTGTTAATAGAGAAATGGGTGACACATTCAAGTTATATTTTATTTGTTCGTGTTTGGCCTCTATTGATAAACTGATGAACTGTGACACGAAGGCTTGTTTTAAATAAAGTGAATAATAACGTAAGACGTGTAAATCAATCGAGGTATGCTACGGTAATTTAGTTTTCCGAGCTTTCATCAGGAAAAGTGAATGATCTTTGCTTTTCCCTCTGTCGTGTGTCGAGACATTAAGACCCTCAGTAACGTAAAAAACATCTGTTTTAAGCAGTTGAAAATTAAAACTAAGGCAAATGATCTGGAATACTTCCATTCAGACTAGAAGGATCTTAAAATGCTTTTTCACCCAAACATAGAAAACAGAAGATGCTATTCACGTACGGAAATAACAGATGAATCTAATTGATTTCTTAACGTGTTTTTGTTTGGAAATGGTTTTATGCTACTCTGGTTTACAGATTTAATGAATGTAACCGAAGAAGTTACAATTTATAGACCCAACGTTTCGACATTTCTAGTGCCTTCATCATGGGTGATCTAAACGCTGCAATAAGAGGTCCTCTTATACGATCACTAATTAGCTGCCTTTTTTCTGACGAGGTGTAAATAGACGTCAGAAGTAGGCCGCCATCATCACGATTTAAAGGAGCGTGGGCGGAGTTGATATACCAAGCTTCTAAACAAAGGCGCTAGTGGTAACGCCGATTAGTGGTGAGAATTTTAGACTTATCCCACCCAATTGTATGGTTAGTCAGGCATGTGTGCTCCGATAGAGCTAAATTTTCTTTTTTTGCCAAAGAAAACCGCTTTTTGATGCTCTTTGAAACGTGTACCATACTAACGTTTGGTCTGTCCGATGTATTCACAGTCGTTGCAAGGAATGGAATAACTGGCGTCTGTTCGTTGTTCTTTCGTGACAGGACCCTTAGGTTTGGCAAAAATATGCCCCAAAGTCTGCAAAGGTTTTTTAGCAACTTTAACGTTGTAGCTATTCAAAATTCTCTTGCTGGGTTCCGTAAAACCCCGAATGTAAGGAATAACAGCAAAACCAGTCGCTGGTTCCCTTTCATCAGGAGTGCTAGTAGTTGTAACTGGTTTTTGGCAGTTTCGGGGAAAGGTTTTTGTATAGCCATTCGCCTTTAAGACATTAGAATCATATTTCCTCTCCCCAGCCTTCGAATCGAGTGAAGATGGTAGACAGTCAGCCCTCCTGAGTAAAGTTTTGGCTACAGACTTTTTATGACAAATTGGGTGTAGGTAGGTTTACGATAGACACTTTTCTCTAAATTCCCCTGAACACCTCTGGACACATTTAAAACAAGAAAGGGTAAATGTCTATCCTTTTCACGCTCAAGGGTGAATTGGATGGACTGCCCTACTGAATTCAAATGCGATAGGATGCGCTCCGCTTCATTTCCGGATACCGCAGAAACAACATCATGTCATCGATATAACGTTTCCAGAAAAAGGGTTTAACCAGTGGCGAAGGCCCTTTGTTCCACGTCTTCCATTACCATTTTGGCAATGACAGCAGAGATGGGCGAACCCATAGCTGTACCAAAAACCTGTTGATAGTATATGCCGTTGTATGCAAATTGCGTGGTTTTGAGGCAAAAAGACAGCAGATGAATAAGATCCTCAACAGGCAAAGAGGTTCTTTGTCCTAGGGAGGCATCTTCTCTAAGTCTCTCCTCCGCAACCTCGACGGCAAGAGCAACTGGGTTTTTTTAGTGAAGAACGAAACAACGTCGAAAGATACTAATTCTTTACCAGCGTTAAGAGTCTTATCTCTTGTGAAATCTACATCTATGTGGAAATCTATGTTTTTGTTTGTAAATTCATTATCACTTAATCGAGAGAGAAGCCAAACAAGCATTAGTAAAATTTAATTTAAATGTCTCACCTTATGTCTTCAATTGATAGCGAGAATAAAAGAAGCTACTCTACTCTAGACCTCTTCTACTTTGTTTAAAATTCTTCTTTGAACGTAAAGAAAAGCTCGAAAAATATGCCAATGAACTACGGGCTCGTGCAATTTTGTTGGTCTTTGAAAAAATTTATACAGAATTATTCCACTGATTGGATGTTTATAGTTTCTCCCTTCTAAATCATTATTTGTCAATCGTCAGTTTTACGTTTTAAATAAGATAAGGATACATTGCTCAGACAGTTTCTACAAATCGGACCGAGACTCAGAAATATCTAGGAAGAGCATAGTGCGATATTCGACTATATAATCGTTTGCATTCTTTCGCACAGTACAGAACATGTTTGCGGCAAAGTCACGGTTCAAATCATTACAATTTGTGTCAAGTTATGGTTACAAATTACATAGACCAACGATTATTACGAAACACTACAGCCCTTATTACAAAATGTGTAGCTCGCTTTTGTTTCAAAATGCTACAGCTCACGGAGACGCTTGTAATAAAGAAATCGATTGATGGAAGAGTTTAAAACACTAATGTGTCTGCTAGGATCCACTCCAATCCCAGTAACTCAGGTGGAAGTGACATGTTAATAGGCAAAGGTAAGTAACACAGAATCATCACAATTTAATAGATAAACGAGTTCTTGGCACCTTTTTTCGACCGTTGGATATTCACTCTCTCCACCGACTGTTGTTGAAAGTGAATCTGGTTTTGATGCCGTCGAGCAATGCTATAAATTCTGATGTAACAAATGCTGCTAATAAAAAGGGAAACAGAGATAGAAACAGCTACAGTGGATTCAAAGACATTCCTATTCAGGAAACCTGAGCTTGATAACAAGGCGGCAGCGGTCCAAAGGGCCAGTACAGAATACTTGGCACGACTTCTAGTCATTAACGCTGCGTATTGGATGTGATCGTGAAGGGCCAAGAACCGATTCACTGCTATGGCTGTCATAGTGAATAGAGAAGCACCACTTGCAATAAAAGACGTTGTTGATGAGTTAAGCACAGAACGATTTCTTTTTAAGAAAGCAGCAAGGTACAGTGGTTGAACTACCACGCCAACGAGAAGGTCAGACAGAGTCAAACTGCACAGCAAAATTGTGCATGAACGGATCGAAGGCGTTCTCGATACGGCGACGAGCACCAAAACGTTGCCAATGATGGAGATAACCATTGCGGGGGGCATTTAAGACACTGTTTAGGACAACTATGCGTTCAGGACTTCTATCTTTCCCAAAAAAGTATTTTTTAATTGAATCAGCCATTCTTGCTCCTCACACCTTTCTTCACTTGAATTTTTAACAGTCTTCCTTCCTCACTGCTCTTAAATGGAGCTGCCTCAGAGCATCAACAAGCTCTTTAGACGTATAAGCTGTATTTCCACGTGCCCTCTGTTATTCGTGGAGGTCTTTTGTGAGTGCTGGGAAGATCTTTACATTGGTCCGTCCATAACAATATCCAGTTGTTATAATATATTCAGTATAGGGGTTTAACTTGTCGTCGCAATGAAAACAGCATTTTGAATGTCTTGCAAAGGGCATGAAACGTTGCTGGCACCATCAGGTTTTGCATAATTAATATGTCAACGTCGATACATGCCCAGAATGGGTTTCGTACAATTTTAAATTATAAATTTTCAAGATCACTAGAGGTTGCCAAAAGCATAACAAGGAGCTTTGGGTGAATTCGTGTTTTTCCAGAGCAATACTGTTATCAAACACAACAGTTTATTGGTATATGTTTTTTCCCTTTTTGTGTAACATATGAACATGGCTTAATTTCTATGCTTTCACGAACAAGCAAAGGACACTTCCTTAAGAAGATTGTCAGTTTTCGCCCGCGTGAACTGGAAATGTTAAAAGCGTCTGGAATTCGTGGGAAGAAAGCCTCTGTGCAAAAACACGATATTATGATTAAAGGCATTCTCTTGAGAATGCGTTTGTGTCTGGTTGTTAATTATTAATTGAGTGGCAGGGTTAGTGCTACGATATATGGGCTGGCTTTTCCTCAAACGAACTACTCAAAATTTAAGGTCAATTGAATCAGGAGACATTTCCAAGAGCTATCATCCAAGTAAAAGGATATCTTTTACGTAAATGACATCGGTTAAAAGTATTCTTTGACTCAGTGGCGTCTGGCATTCTTTCTTGGCAATTTAGAAGTAATTACCAGTAGCAAAAGTCATAATATCTATGAAACACTTTTTTGAATCCTCTTGAAAATTGAAAAGTTTTACTTGGCCAGGTGAAAATTTCATAATTAAGATTGTGTAAAATCACCCAGGTTGAATGTACCCAAATTTATCCAAAGGAGCCGTATCAGCCTTATTTTTTCCTTTTGTCTTTCCTCTCGATTAAAGGACTCTCAAAGAGATCAAACTTTAAACTCTTTGACCTTCTCAGCTTTAGGTTACGAAGGAAAATGGCACACGAGGTCAGAGTGGTTTGGTTTGCAAGGAAGGATAAATATTCTTGTTTCGAGACTAAAAATTTATTAAATTTTTCTCTTCATGCTTTTTAATTTTCGATGTACCGCCAATCCGATGTAGGTCAGAAAAACAAATTTCATTTAAATCACGGACGGTTAAGGAAACAATTGGGTCTACAATACAGCAGTTAGGTTGAAGAAGTTATACCGGTGATTGATCGAAGCATTCACGGTTTCTTTACGATGAGTTATTAAATCATGACAGTCTTAAGAATGAGATTGATTTTTTATTAGTGTTGTTCGAGTAGTTGCCTCAAATTTACTCGTCACTAGCAGAACAGGTTATTGTAGAGTAACTTTTTTCTGGTTAAGTTTTGCTTGTCCTTGTATGACTTCTCTCTCAATAAAGTGATGAAGAATCGACTAACGATAACAAAGTAAGACATTAAGTAATGCGATTGTCTTTCTCTGTTGTCTTTCTTTTAATTTTAGACAGTAAAAACATTAGTTGAGAAGAAAACATTTGTAATAGGTAGTTTACAAAATTCAAACTAAAGTGAAACGATCTCAAATACTACCAGGGATCTAAAATTGGTTTTCTACTGATCTGCACAAAATCTGCATATATTGACTATTTACCCAAACTGGGAAACAGGAGAAACTACACACGTACAAAGATAAGTTCCCCGATGGAAAATTCAACAGATAAACAGCAAATACGACAATCAACTAGGAGTACAAAAAATATTTTTATATATTTCATCGCGATGATTTTATGCTACTCTCCATTTTCAATTGTTGTAATTATTTCGGGTTTTACTAGTGTAGATTTAAAAGTTGTAGTGACTTTCCCAGTCACTGTAGCATTCATGAACTCCTTCATCAATCCAATTTTTGTATTGTTGGCGTATGACCGAGCTCAGAACGGCAGTTTTTAAAACAGCGAGGCTTTTTTTTTGTAGAGAAACGGATGAAAGAGTTCTAATCTAGGACTAAATCGAAACAAATCTTTAGCAAGGTCTTGTACAAAATCTAAGGGTTCATTCGCAAAAGTTCCCCGATCGTTGTAACCCGCACCAGTATCAATATCTTCTATTCTTGAGTTAAGCAAGAAAAGCGGGGTCCTTAAGAAAGATTTTGGTCGAAAGCTTAAACGTTAAAGTAAAGAGAAGGAAAGAGGAGATGTGAAATTAAGATCCCCTAGGAGGTAAAAGGGACCTTTGACAATAAAATGTCGAAAAAAAACTAATATAAAATTCCGTGTGTCATGATTGCATCATGGTATAGCGATGTTCAATGTTTTTAGCTCTAACATTGTATTGCTTGAGGACAAATTAAGCTTTCAGTGGTTAGTAAGAAGGAAAAAAATCTTGCATGGTTTGCAACAAACACGATATGGAAACAAAAAATGATGGAGTGTAGCATAAAATCATGACGACGAAATACATGAAAACAGTTTTTGCACTCTTAGTTGATTGTCGTGTTTGCTGTTTATTTGAATCAATTGAATTTTCCACTGCCTTTTGTTGAACATGAATTTGCAACTGATGCCGACGAACAATTCGATGAATCTTGAGAAAACAAACCAAGCAAACTAACATGTTTTTGTTTGTAAATTCATGATCACTTAATCGGGAGAGAAGCCAAATACGAACTAGTAAAATTTAAATTAAGAGAGGATGTCAGCATCCATCGAACAAATTTGAAATATTGTGGCAAGTCGCCCGAAATTCGTTTTCTCTCCTACTTTCATATTTTGTAGCCCAATATGTTCTAATAATTGTGGTGTAGTTTTTTTGTGAAAATATACTTTAGTTTTCGAGAAATAATTTTGTGTGCTGCACGTTTCAGCAGCCAAGGGGGACCTTTTACATAAGAGGGCGGGGGTGCGCGCCTGGAATTTCGAAAACGACCGCTATGAAATTATAAAAGGTACTTAAGTCTTATACGTGAGGGAGTGTCAACAATTAGCCGGTAAAAACAAGTGTTTATGTCTTTTTCTGTCTTTTTCTGTCTTTTTCAATGCTTCCCTCGCTCCCACAGAGGATTCATACAAATATGAGAGCCGTGCCGCGTTTATATTGCACAGGTAGGAAAGGTCGTCCGGAATGAGTGTTTCGTTCTGTAATGAAAACCCCAATAAACTCACTCAGAAATGACTCGTTTCGAATAAATTTTACGCTGGTTATTATGCGGTAACCGGTATGAACTCATTCTTGTATAAAACTCATTCGGATATCATGTAAAAGGCCCCTAAAAGTTTTTATTCCCGGAGCATCACGCTTTGCTCGCCTGTCTGAATACTAAAAATTTCAGTAGCGTTGAAGCAACAATCCGCATTTGACTGCTGCGCTGCCGCTGAAACTGCCGCTTCTGTTACTTGATCTTCTAGTTTTTGGCTATCATTTCCATGGCGAATTTTCATTCAGCATGAGTCTTCTAAGGCTGTTCATTGTCGTTCCCACTAAGGAGTTTATTTCCCGGTAATCATATCCCAAATCAGCTAGTTTTGTTCTGTCGATTTACAGAAACACGTCTCTGTTGTCTGAATTACAGCTGTTCGAAGCTCACGGAGACGCCAGCAATAAAGAAAAGGATTGATAGAAGAGTTAAAAAACACTAAGGTGTCTGCTAGGATCCACTCTAATCCCAGTAACTCAGGTGGAAGTGACATGTTAATAAACAAAGGTAAGTAACACAGAATCATCACAGCGTAATAGATAAACGAGTTCTTGGCACCTTTTTTCGATCGTTGGATATTCACTCTTTCCACCGCCTGTTGTTGAAGGTGAATCTGGTTTTGATGCCGACGAGCAATGGTATAGATTCTGATGTAACAAATGGTGCTAATAAAAAGGGAAATAGAGATAGCAACAGCTACAGTGGATTCATAGACATTCCTATTCAGGAAACCTGAGCTTGATAGCAAGGCGGCAGCGGTCCAAAGGGCCACTAGAGAATACTTGGCACGACTTGTGGTCATTAACGCTGCGTATCGCATGTGATAGTGAAGGGCCAAGAACCGATCCACTGCTATGGCTGTCATAGTGAATAGAGAAGCACCACTTGCAATAAAAGACATTGTTCTTGATGCGTTAAGCACAGAATGATTTCTTTTTAAGAAAGCAGCAAGGTACAGTGGTTGAACTACCACGCCAACGAGAAGGTCAGACAGAGCCAAACTGCGCAGCAAAATTGTGCTTGGCGAACGGATCGAAGGCGTTCTCGATACGGCGACGAGCACCAAAATGTTGCCAATAATGGAGATAACCATTGGGGGAGCATTTAGGACACTGTTTAATTAAGACAACTATGGGTCCAGGAGTTTTATCTTTCCCAAAAAAGTATCTTTCAATTGAATTAGCCATTCTTGCTCCTCTTACCTTTCTCCACTTGAATTTTTAACTCTGTCTCAGAGTGTCAGCAAGCTCTTTTGACAAGTAAGCTGTATTTCCACCAGCCTGCTGTTATTCGCTAAGGTCCTTGTAAAAGGTGAATTCAAATTGGCAGCCAAAAACTTATCTTTTGTATGTGCTGGTAAGATCTTTAAATTTTAATGGATATTGGTCCGTCAATAACAATACCATTATAATATATTCAGTATAGGGGTTTAATTTGTCGTCGCAGTGAAAAAAGCACTTTTCATGTCTTGAAAAGGGCATGAAACGTTGCTGGCTCCATCAAGTATTGCTTAATAAATATATCAAGGTCGTTATCATGCCCAGTAGGATTTGGTACAATGTAAAAATTTCAATGTTCAAGATCACTAGAGGTTGCCAAAAGCGTAACAAGGACCATTGGGTGAATTCATGTTTTCCGGAGCAATACTGTCAAACACAACAATTTATTGGTATATATTTCCCCTTTTGTGGGACCTATGAACATGGCTGAATTTCTAAGCTTTCATTAACAAACAAAGACACTTCCCCTAGGAGATTGTCAATTTTCGCCCGCGTGAACTGGAGATGTTTAAAGCGTTCGGAGAAAGCAACTGTGCACAAACACAATCTTATGGTGAAAGGCATCCTCCTGAGACTGCGTTTATGTAAATCAATAATTGAGTGGCAGGGTCAGTGCTACGATATATGGGCTGGCTTTTCTTGAAACACACTACTCAAAATTTAAGACGAGTGGTCACTTGAATCAAGAGACATTTCCGAGAGCTATTATCCAAGTGAAAGGAAGTTCTTTACGTAAATGACATCGGTTATAAGTATACTCTTTAACTCAGTGGCGCCTGGCATTCTTTCTTGGTAATTTAGAAGTAATTTCCAGTAGCGAAAGTCATCATATTTATGAACCACTGTTTTAAACCCTCTCGAAAGTCGAATAGTTTTACTTGACCGGCCCACGTAAAAATTTCATGATTAAGATTGTTTAAGATTGTGTAAAATCAACCATTTCGAATTATACCCAGATACTTGTAAAGAAAAAAAAAAAAGGAAGATAGTAAAGTTTGAGCTCGGTAAAGAAATAGAGAAATATGGTTTTCGTCTTGTCACGAGCATGGGACAAAGAGACTTTACGGTGAGCTAGGGGTCTATTACGAAGTTCATATGACACGGGTCCTGCATACTGCTAGGATCAGCAATGTCGATAGCGTCTTGTTTGTTAATAGAATAAGAGAGATGGTCTTTATTTCTTTACCGATCTCAAAACTTATCATCTTTCTTAAGCTTCATGCTTTTTGATTTTCTATGTAACCTGGTTGTATAACCAATCCGATGAAGGTCAGAAAAAACAAATTTCTTTTAGATCATAGACGGCTAACGAAACGATTGGATCTACAACACAACGGTTAGGTTGAAGAAGTTATACCGGTGATTGATCGAAGCATTTACGGTTTCTTGACGATGAATTATTAAATCATGACAGTCTTAAGAATCAGATCAATTTTTACGAGTGTTGTTCGAGTAGTTGCTTCAAGTTTACTCGTGACTAGCAATTACTGAGACAAAGTTGAGTGCCGCTGAAAGGTTGAGGTAAGAAGTTGTAGTCGAGGAAGTAAATGTGGGAAGCTTGGCTCCTGTGCTTCTTTGTGAGCCTTTTTTCAACGAATTTGGTGTAATTGCAAGTAGTGTGTCTCCTCGCCTTAGTTTGAACGAACAATAAGCATATTTTCGTACGAAACATAACGCACTGACGAAGTCTTTTTTGTTTTTAAAGATGTTATGACACGTCATTACATTTCACGTTATAAATTAAAATTCAATTTTCTATTGAACAAAATTCTTGGACAAACAATAAAAATGAATCTGAGTGTCATAAAGTAGAACTGGCTTAGATAGTGTTCCATTTTAGAGTATTCATGCAGGGTTATGGCCTGTCGAGTAGATATTCAATGTGTTGGTTGTTGTGAAGATTAGTTTACATAAGTTCAGAAATTTTGTATTGGTTCATTCATTATAGGATTAGGTGAATCAATTAAATTTAACAAAAACAGGGCTTTAATAAAAAAAATATTGCAAAAAAATGTATAAATAAAGAAAATTAATAAATTAATTTAAATAAACCTCAAATAAGGAAGGAAATTTACTACAAAGCAGTATATGAACTGAAATAATGAAAGTTGTAAATGAGAAAAACCAATGTAAACTTAGCAATCTTAATTTGGTCAATACAACAAATCGAAAACATATACTGTGGAAATTGGCAATTTAAGACTGTTTTCATTGGTTTAAAATGTCGTTGTGTCATCTTTATGCGACAGATTTCTTCGCAGCAACCGAAGAAGTAGTAATGATTTTCATCAATTTCAAAATTCTTACTGAACAGTGGCTCATATAACTGATGCAATGTAATTGCAAATCAAAGTCATATTGAGGAGAATTGAATTAAAAAAAAGGTCTAGTTTTTCTTAATAATTTTGGGTTTATTGGTGTTGCCACGAGCAAATACTGAACAAGAAAAACAATTATGTCGTCAATCAAACCAAAACTAGTGCGTATACATTTTATCCAGCTCCGTCAATTCTTACTCATAACGATAAAAGTAAAGGTGAACAACAGATTTCTACTTCTTCAAAGGAAGATCTTCTCAGCAGACTGAGTCGAGTCATTTATGACAATCAGTAAGCAGTCAGACTAAAACGAACAAGCTGGTGACTAAGGAATGTTGATACTACGATATCTATCTCTGCTAGCGGTTTTAAATGGAGCTCATGTTTACGGGACAAGTGAGTCTTGCTGTCCTTTTTCATTTGGATTGAAAACGTGTCTTGAAAATGTTGGGGAGGTTTGAGAAAAGTATATTGTTCCAGTGTTTGAGTGGAGGTTTGTCCAACAGGGCTTAACTTTTTATGAAGAAACACTTTGCACAGTAGATGTATGAAAAATAAATGGGATATCAGAGGTTTAGTATTGCTAGCAGATCTTAAGATCAATTTTCAAAGCGAATTCAGTTTTTAATTCACAAGGTTTTGTCATCAAATGATGCTAGTTACCAAATCCTGCACGTGCCATACTTTAGTTAATGATAAAAATAATAGTTAAGGAAAGTTGTAAACAGAATTTCCTTTTCGCCAAGTCCCAGTGGGTTTTCGGCGTAATCAGGGATCGTAATACTCTCGTGCAAAGGGCGTTAGGGATCTCTTTTGCCTGCAGATTATGAAATAAAAGTGACGACATCGCAGGAACCCTTTGCTGGTACTGATGCACGTGTGTACGTGAATCTTATTGGCGTGAATGGTGCTTCCACTGGCTCCATAAAGTTGCATAATTCAATGCAGGACTTCGAAAGGGGAAGGTAAAGTATTGGTTGCACGGCAGCGGTAAGGTAATACTTAAGTGGATTATGCAGTCTGCCTAACCTCGCTACGGGTTTGATGTAGCTCGGCAAGAAAGAGTAAGAGAAGTAGTTTTACCAATGTCACTGTAGACAATTCAAGAGCAAAGATAATTTGTTCAAAAACAAACTCGCACCAGTCTCTCAATCAATCAGATGCAAAACCTGGAACGCAATCGTTTCTTAATTATCCGAGTTTTCCCGCGCTTTGGGCAGTTTCCATGGTTTTACTCTGAGTTCTCATCAGTTCTTACGAGTGTCTTCTTTCCATTTAATCATTCGAAGATAAAACTGTTTTTAGTTTTATGATACCCAATTAAAAGATGCCTTTATAAGTTACTATTTGGGAAACGCTGGAAAAATAAGAAAAAGATTGAATATAATTTTGCCACTGTAGACAATTCAAGAGCAAAGAATGAAGAACGTTTACAGTTGGGCATTGAGAACATTAACTCGGATTACAAATGAATGACTAGAAATTTTTGTTGGTATCGGTCAAAGCCCTGAGTAACTTCCATTACCTTTGCTAAGGCAATAAAGCACTTAAATAGATTTTTATGTTATGTTTCTAGAACAGACACATTTTATCGAGATGCAAGCCCAGTAGGCCATTTGAAGGCTATAAAAGTGCATCGTGACAATTCAGGATTTGGACCTAACTGGAAACTAGCTCGGGTAAACTGTTACAATCATTACAGAATTTTCCTGATAATTTCAGACTCTATTTAGTGTGCGCAGCTTTCATAGTCACCCGCAAATAAGACAGCTACCGTTTTGAGGTACAGCAGTGTCATGCAGTGTTCCTGCTTTTTTATGAAGTTTAAGTCAAACAGAAAATTATGGTTAAAAGATGTTCGAAGCAAGACTAGGAAAGGACTTTTTGATTCCTTTATAATAAATCCATAAAGTAGGAAAAATAAATTCGCCATGGGATTGGTGAGCAGTGTGGCGCTATAAACAATTCCACACCCAATGAAACCTTATTTCATTTAAAATCACTGCGTAAGTGAATGAAAAATGAAGCTTGTGTCTGCTTTCTATAGATCACCGTACGTTTCAGCGGCTCGCCTCTGTATAAGTTTTACTTCAATAAGTGGATACCTGCTTATCGATGGACTACAGCCAACGGTAAGGTAGAGTGTCCGAGCTAAATCTGCCTTTTCCAAGCATCAAAGCTAGAATGCCGATCACTTTAATAAAAAGTACTTTTTGTATTGGCGACGCCTAAATTGAAGGTCGTTTAACAAAGCAGGCTACTGGAAAACTTAAATATTGTTTAAGGGTAATTCAGAATGGCATTCCGTGTCTTGAACTTGTCTGAATAACTTCTCATCCGTTATCAGATCGAATATCTTAGTCTTTTGCTCATCTAAATTCCTTAAATTAAACCCCACTACTTTTTTTTCACGTGTTGATGAGATTAAACTGACTTTCTTTTTAGAGGAAAATGAATGCCGAGCTGGTCTGGCATTGTGCCAGCATCTCTGTATTGACACAGGAAGTGGATACAACTGCGCATGTCGCACGGGATTTAAGCTCGAAGGCCGCTATAAGTGTACAGGTAAGTTTGCGCATAACGGTTATGTAAACAAAGTATAGGCGATCACCATCAATCGAAAAACAGCTATAAGTTATCATCTGTTTCCCTGTGTTTTGGCGTCACCAGTGATCAATATGTGGGCTTACAGACTCCCTTTCCCGAGGGTTTTTGCTCGCTTAAGGCACGCCGAGGAGGACGTCGATTAATGAAACGAATTTTTATTTTAGTTAGAATTTCACAAATGGCTGGAAGTGTTTCCCGTCTCTTACGGTGTCACAGGTCAACTTCAGCATACTGTAAGCGAACAGCTATGAGTTCCAAATGGAAAATGAAAGTAATTTGGCAACAGAATTCCGTTCTCAGAACACCAAAAATTTGTCATTACACGTTGTTGTTTTCAGAGAAGAGCTAATAAAAGTACACAAGGTTTTAAAGTGCACGTGCTGAGCTGTTGTTCTGTTCATTAGGTCTTTTGTTTTGCCACGTCTTCGTCGTTGGCTCTGTCGTGGTTTGCTTTAGGGCCCTGGCACTATCTCGAAAAAACAGCATTTCTCAGAGAATGTCACTGAGATTACTCTTCGTGAAATTCTTCTGCTACGGAGTATTACATTCACACAAATGATACATTCACGTATTCTCTTCATTTGGTTTCTTAGACTTGGACGAATACGTTAATGGAGTAAACAAGTGTGAACAGCAGATTACAACTTGTAGCAACAAACTTGGAAGTTATTCCTGCCAATGCAAAATGGGATATCAGTCCGGAGACTCACTGTACATATTTCGATATAACCATATTTTCGATAAACCTCTCTAACATCAATTTATCAGAGTCCTCTCAGATGATGGTTGTTGAATTTCATGTTAGTTTTTCTTAACTGCACTTTTGTAAAAGAGGCAATTTTCTAAAGAAACTGTTGTGTTACGTCGGTGGAGACAGTTTGATTTGATCAAAGAGTTTTTAAAGCCGACATTTCGAGCGTTAGCCCTTTGTCAGGGCTGCGACAGCTACGTTTTAACTACATGTGACTACGCTGGCCAATTTGTCACGTCACGTATTTCTCCCCAAGCTAAGCGTCAGTGGCAGGTGACTGAATAGTTCTGCCAAAATCGAAAAAAAAATGGCTTCGGGTCATCGTTTTGTCCAATAAGGTAAAAAAAAAAAGAAAAAAATTCAGTTCGTTTTGTCATGCAAATAACCTGCTAGCGAGCATTTTCGTCCACCTCTTAGGGTTTAAAATAATGAAAAGAGCTAATCCAGGCACATTTATTTTACTTAGATGTTGATGAGTGTAGTACTGGAGAACAAAAATGTCACAGTCAAACTACCACATGTAAAAACAATCTTAGAGGCTACACATGCCCCTGTAAGAGAGGATATCAGCCTGGCCAGTCAGCTTATGAGTGTCAGGGTAATTGTTTTTACTATTATAAAGAAACTGTGAACAAAAAGCCCCGTCCTTTACACTATAATGGAAAAAACCACGATCAGTTATTTCCGTAGGGTCTCCAAAAGGATCTTTAAACAATAAATTATGTCTAACGTTGAAACTGCCTTAGCAACTTTATCAATTGAGTCGCGATATCTGAATTTTGACAACTTATCCTACGTAATGAAAATTTTCTAACAATCTCTTTTTTTTGTTTCCCACGAGAAAGGTTTATTTATGCTGGTGAGTTTAATCCACAGATATGAATGAGTGCATGGCAGGAAATCGCAAGTGCGAGGGAAAGACTACCAATTGCAAAAACAACTTTGGAAGTTACAGTTGCGAGTGTAAAGATGGATTCGAACTTGGACTTTCACCCTATAAATGCAACGGTAAAATGAACAATTATTTTTTTTATTATTCCAGTTTGGGTCATTCTGGACTAAAACATTCTCGAGCTGAACTTAACTCGTCCTTTATCAAGCGTCTTCTTAACGTAATTTTAAGTTCGTGTCCTATTAGGATCGATTGGTTAAGGTTGCCCACATTTGGTCGGTTTTTCTTTCTTTTGTATAAGCTGGATACAAAAGAAGAAGAAGAATCTATATCTGAGAAAATTGAGGAAAAAGCAGTAAGCATCATATCAAAATATGGAAAATTGGAGACCAAGTTTTCTCCCCTCAACTATTGAAAGGAAAGAAATCTGGTTTTGACTAATCCCGATAATTGCCGAGTCCTAACCGTAAACGTTTGATTACTTGTTCTAATGGGAGACTTCAATTGAGATTTTTGAGACCGAAAATGACAATTTTAGAACAGAGATTTATTCACGACTAACTCATTCAAATGAGAAAAAAAAAACCTGCCTCTGTTTAAAGACAAGAGACATCAGCTTGCTCGAACCTCAATGAGCACCGACACTAGGTAAGGTGTTTACAAAAAGTTACGTTTTCAGTGCCATTAATATGGATGAGTACCACTTGTGTTTTGAAGAACTTGGCACATTAACTTCATTTAGATGTTGATGAGTGTAGTACAGGAGAACAAAAATGTCACAGTCAAACTACCACATGTAAAAACAATCTTAGAGGCTACACATACCCCTGCAAGAGAGGATATCAGCCTGGCCAGTCATCTTATGAGTGTCAGGGTAATTGTTTTTACTATTAGAAAGAAACTGAGAAAAAAAAGAGCCCCGTTCTTTGCACTATAACGGAAAAAATCCCGATCAGTTATTTCCGTAATAAAAAATGATGTCTAACTTAAAAACTGCCCAAGAAACTTTATCAACTGAGTCTGGATATCTGAATTTTGATAAATTATCCTATGTAATGAAAATTTCCTAACGATCTCTTTTTTCGTTTCCTACAAGAGAGGTTTATTTATGCTGGTGAGTTTAATCCACAGATATAAATGAGTGTATAGCAGGAAATCACAAGTGTGAGGAAAAGACTACCAGTTGCAAAAACAACTTTGGAAGTTACACTTGCAAGTGTAAAGGTGGATACGAGCCTGAACCTTCACTCTATAAATGCAACGGTAAAATGAATACTAATTTTTTTATTATTCCAGTTTGGGTCATTCTGGACTAAAACATTCTCGAGCTGACCTTCACTCATCCTTTATCAAGCGTCTTCTTAACGTAATTTTAAGTTCGTGTCCTATTAGGATCAGTTGGTTAAGGTTGCCCACATTTGGTCGGTTTTTTTTCTTTTGTATACGCTGGATACAAAAGAAGAAGAATCCATATCTGAGAAAATTGAGGAAAAAGCAGTAAGCATCATATCAAAATATGGAAAATTGGAGACCAAGTTGTATCCCCTCAACTACTGAAAGGAGAGAAATCTAGTTTTGACTAATACCGATAATTGCCGCGTCCCAACCGTAAACGTTTGATTACTTGTTCTAATGGGAGACGTCAATTGAGATTTTTGAGACCGAAAATGACAATTTTAGAACGAAGAGATTTATTCATGACTTACTCATTCAAACGAGAAAAAAAAAAACCTGCCTCTGTTTAAAGTCAAGGGACATCAGCTAGCTCGAAATTCGATGAGCACCGACCCAAGGTAAGGTGTTTACAAAAAGTTACGTTTTCAGTGTCATTAATATGAATAAGTACTACTTGTGTTTTGAAGAACTTGGCCCTGAATGATTAGCATATAAATACTTTTGAAAACAAAACAAAATAAAACAAACATTCAAATGTATTTATTCTGTGGGAAGAATTATCACCAAATAATATGGATTATGAGTGACTCACTAAAACAATAAAAGTTTCGAGTGAATATGCTGTATTTCTGAAAGTGTCCGTTTATTTATTGGGATAGATGTCATTATATGAAAAACTGCGCACCTGCCCCTCCCCTAACCCAGCATTAACCCAAACTTGTTATGATTTGACTTTTGTTTGGTTTGGGGGAAGGGTTGGTGCGAAGTTGCTCAGATATTGACATGGATCCTTTGGTTCATAGCTAAACGATGCAACATTTCCATACCTCTGGGAATGGAGAACGGTCACATAAGTAACCAATCCATCACGGCAAGTTCTTATTACTCGAGATATCCACCTTGGCTCGCCCGACTCAAAAGTGGAGCCGAGGAAAGCTGGTACGCACTCCCAAGTGACCCAAATCCATGGATTCAGGTGGATCTCGACAAGCTCACCTGGTTGAGAGGAGTAGCCACTCAGGGCAAGAGGTTCTCTTTTTTTGTCAAAACTTACAAGTTGGCATATTCTTTGGACGGGATTCATTGGAGTACTTATAAGAAGGCGAACGGTGAAAAGGAAATGGTAGGCATTTCGTATTCAACTGTCAATTTTATTTCTTAAATTATTCATATTGTTTTAGTTTTTTTTCTCCACATCGCCTTTTTTCCACTTTTTGTTATTCGCATATGTTACCTGTCCCCGGAAAGGTTCACAATCTCGTTCTAGCTTGTTGCAATTTATTCTTTCGGTTATTTTTGAGGATATTTTGTTCCCATTCCCTGCATTGATTTTCATTCATCGGCTTCCTCTGTTTTGATAGACCATTTCATACCCTAATTATAATTTCCAGCAAGAGAATGCAAAAAAATACCTGCGAAAGGGCACGAGGAACTTTCTTGCACCATCGATCAAATCTTTCAGGTCAACGCCTTTTTTGGGGGGAAAATACAGAACCATTTCTCAATCTTCTGAGAAAGCAGCTCGAAATGACAGCCAATGAGTTGTATAAAGAGGTTATAGGTAGATTGCTAGGGATGCAATGTCGTTTTACGAGTAAATCGCATTAGTTTCAGGACTGTCAGCGCCATGGTATCCACTCATTTAAAGTCTTCTTAAGTAATAATTGATTATCTTCATTGGAAAGGTTTTTAAAGGAAACACAGACCCTTACAAAGTAGCTAAGGTTGAACTCGACAACCCCATTTTTACCCGTTATGTCCGCTTGTACCCGAAGACCTGGAGGGATGGAATAGCTCTAAAGATGGAGTTGTATGGCTGCCGACCAGCATAAGCTGTGTTTTAATTTGAAAACGACATTCAGTTGATGTGCTAACGGATGTTTAAATATCCTTGATCGCAGTGGTATTTCAATAAACGGTGACTCCACCGATCGACTGCTTCATGAATCCTCTTTGCTAGATAGCCAACCCTAATGCTCAGGTATAGCCCTCTATGATGCTCTGTATAAGCATAATATTTTGCTTAAAATATTTTGGTCAGGATATCTTCTCTTCTTACAAAAAAATGAGCAATTCAAAGCTTAGCCTAATGTTGACATCGTTTGATTCAAAGTCCTCATCCTTCCTTTAATGAGGACAAGGATATTGAAATTCCTTAATTTAAGAACTGTTTGCTTACCGTAAAATAATCCCCCCGATGCAAATTGATTCCCCAGTCACTGCTCCATCTGTCTCCGTAGGAAAATTTGACTTTGGTTTTAAAGTCTCTCCGCTCATAAGCCATTTAGAGGAGCCTACCTATGTGTTAACACAGCTTAAAAAATCGTTTTTTATGATTACGTTCACTCAAAAGCCCTCCCTCCTATTCCTTATTTTTACGTGTTTATTTTATCGATGATGCTCGGAAAGCTAATTTCATGCCCCAAAAATAATAACTATTTGGAAAGCACAAAGATGGAAATAAGAGAGGTCTGGCTAAAATGCAGTGTTGTTGACCCCACACACGGTCAGTTTTTTGTTTGTTTGTTTTTCTTTGTATCAAACCATGATTGTCGACTGACTCGAAGGTAGGTGTTAAACAATCAAAAATTGTTTTCCAGGAGCCCTTGGCAAACTTTACTGTTAGCGGGTGCTGTAGAATGCAACTATCGAAAAATGTGTGCGGCCGTAGCTTAGATCTGCTCAAATGCACTAGAAGATTTTGAAAAGCTTTATAGTAATCCAACAAGTATACACACATTCATTAGAAGAGACGTATGTCTCCAGTCCAGGAACCGAACAAACATAGGGAAGCAGCAAGGTGTTTTCTTTGTCTTCGTCCCGCCTCCACCGCGGATGATTGAACAATTTCATTGCTGGCCGCTATTTCCTAACTTTTGTTTTTTTGACAACTCACCCAAGGTTTCTGGTTATAGTTTTGATTCCGCACAAAGGTGACAGGGCATTATTATAGCGAATACTATAAAAAGGAAACCGGAGGCTGCAAAAGCACGATCTGCGGTTGGTTCATTGTCATTATCAGTCACTATTGTGAACAACGGAGAAACAACATCAGAAAAAAAGATTTACATCTTTTACGTCATTCGAAGTTAATTTCTGTGAAGTGTTTGAAGATTTCCAATTCCAGTCCAATGATTTCTCATTATTAAATAGTTCCTTACCTACAACGCGCTCTTTTGATGTGATTTTTTGGTCATTTTATTCATTTATTTTAGTCTGACGTGGGGAATGGAATTTTTCACTGCTTTTCGAATTTTCGAGAACGACACGTGATAGTGACACCTCAGTTGATATCACTTTCCAGTATTTACATATTTTTATCTTTATATAATTCAAGGAAATGCTAAAACAGTTGGACTATCATTTCTAATATGTACTATTACTTAAATCTTCCGTCCAATTTAACATTTTAAAAAGTTTTTCCCGATTTTTTTTTTATCATTACTATCAAGTGTTCGAGAACGACACGTGATAGTGACACCTCAGTTGATATCACTTTCCAGTATTTACATATTGTTATCTTTATATAATTCAAGGAAATGCTAAAACAGTTGGACTATCATTTCTAATATGTACTATTACTTAAATCTTCCGTCCAATTTAACATTTTAAAAAGTTTTTCCCGATTTTTTTTTTATCATTACTATCAAGTGTTCGATGACGCGGGCTTCACGTTTGGACTTATGAAATGAACGATGTCATGTTGTAGACTTTCGGCTTAATTTAAGAAACGTTTTCGACTGACTCAGGTCATGGAAATAATCCTTTTCTTTCAAGTATTGTCATGAAGGGATTTCCAAAACAACAAAATAAAACGAAAAATTGGCAACTTCTATAGATATGATTTTTAGGCCATGGCAAGCAGGAAGAAATTCCCCATTTTGAGAATGATGATTGAATATTGAATTTTGGTTAAATCTGTAAATTTATCTCGGTGTTACTGATCCTCTACAAAAGTTTAGTCCGGAAAAGACCGTTTTAACAAAGATTGCTTTTTTTCTTTTCTCTTTTTCTCTATTATTGTCACAGGAAACAAAATTTCCATGGGCAGTTAGTTTCACATGTTACATATGTTGTACATGTGTCCTGTCACACGGCATTAAGCATTCTACCTCGGGTTAAACTACAGGAAAAAATGCACGGAGAAACGCACGAAGAAAAACCGCTGATTGTTAGGGTTGTTATGATTTTGTTAGTAAGCCTTCTTGCCTCAGCTGCCTTGCTTAGTAATGGTTTTGTTCTCACGGTCATTGGTCGCTTTAAATCTTTGCGAACAGTTCCAAACATTCTCCTTGCCAATCTCGCTGTTGTGGACCTTCTCAGCGCAGCTATAAACGTGCCCATTCATATGATTAGTTACGTTTGGGAGGCGAGTTGGTTTAGAGGAAAGATTCTGGCTATCATCAGCAGCAGTCTCAATCGGTTATTTTTGATGTTGAATCTTGTCTCCATGCTCGCCATGATGATAAATATGTACCTGGCCATTTCCTTTGGTTTGAGATATCTCGCCTGGAAGACGAAGAAAAAAGCCCTGATCTGTGTGATTTTCATCTGGTTCGCGTGTATCGTTATGGCGACCTTGTTTGCATTGCCTCTACTCAATATCGATCTTGGTAATGCTCATGTCAGCGAATACAGAGCAGAGATCTTCGAACAAGCAAAGTATTTTGTTGCTGCAGGCACGTCGATCCTCATTATCTGTAGTGCTTTGGTCTCTTTCCTGACAGCTTGTGCGATAAGGAGGAAGAGAATGAAGGTAGAGATTTTTTTTCTTCTATGTTTTGTAGTCGCAGGAAATATTAGGTATGATTTGACTGATCAAAGAGATAGAATTCTCGGCGTCATTAACAATATGCTGAATTTGATTTGAGAATTGTGCGCTTAAATTGAAGCAACACAAACATCCGGTTCTTCAGTCGAAGTCCGACTATGGCTGCGGCTTTAAGCAACCAATGGACCGCGAGATTTCTTTCTTTTAGAAGGCTTTTTGAAATAAATGAAGTTTTTCAGCCGCAAGCATTCTCTGAGTTTTTCGTCAAAACAGCATTTGGACGAAATTTTAAGCTTTATTAAAGATAGTTTAAAACGTAGTTTGGCTAAACGATTGATAAAGCATCGGTGATAATTGCTCAAAAGCTTTTGATTATGTAGTCAAAAAATACTTTATCTTTATTGCCTAAATGCCACTCTTTATACTACAGTTTAGTGATGCCTCATTCGTACTTGATGTCCTCTACTTATTTACAGAGAAAAGAAATGAATTTGTCTTCCTCTCAAGCTGAAGTCCGATTGAGGGAGGACGTAAAAGCGACTAAAACCATCGCCATTACAGTAGCTGCCTACTTCTTCTGCTTTATTCCTGCCATCGTGTTTGCAGCAGTGGTTTATGAAGAAGATGACAACGATGTTTGGTTTTCTTTTATTGCTCGTTACAGCATTGACTTCTCGAGCACAGTGAATCCGATTATCTACTACACAAGAACAAGACGCTGCCGTTCAGCTTTCAAACAGCTCATAAAAAACCCTTTTGGATCAAGCGACTACAAAGAGAGGCCAAACTTCAATAACACTCGAGTGCTCGTAGGAAATAGAGATGGCGTTGAACAAGAAAATAGCCGTGATGTCAAATTGGATGGAAACCCAACGGGAGAAACGTATGCAAGCAAACGAAGAAATGCACTTGCTACTCTATCAATTGAAAGCGTAAGGGTTCATGAGGCCGGTTATTATGCAGATGGAAAACAGCTAAGCTGGGAAGGACAAATGTCTAAATGTGGAGTTCAAGCTTTCGATCAGTTAAGCGGAGAGGAAACAAAAGGAGGGCATGATAAACTGAATGAGACGAAAAGACAAAAAATTCGGGAACAGTTACGCCCATTTTCTAAGGTTCATTTTCTCGAAGTGGTTGCAACACACATTGCCGCTGACGATTCTGGTGGAGCAAAACGAATAGAAAGCGCTCACCACTTTAGGAGGGAAGAAAAAAGACAAGAGTTTACCGGAAAAAGAAAAGGCACCGTTTCAAGTAGTCTGGTGTTACTAAAAGTGCGGAAGGCGGCATGGCAAGCCACTGAGGAGGAAGACATAGGTCAGACTATGTCTAACCCTAACTGACTCAAGACGCGATTAAGCTTGTGATTTACTCGAGGACGCTTTCTAAGATACACCACAATAAGTTTTCTTGGGTTGCAGCTATGATTTTGTTTGTTATTTTAAATGTGACTGTGAACCTGGGATAGTGAAAATTCTTTAAATGCTTAGTCGGACTTGACTAAAAGTCACGCATATCTACAGAAAAACGTATTCCCCAGGAAATTATGATACTTAATGCATTTTAATGGACGTTGCCAAAATCTAAATGCATGATACAAGTCGTGGCAGCGGGTTTTTCGTCATATATTTAACTTGTGATATCTGTTTCGCAGAGATAGACCTACTAGACTAGTGTGAGAAAAGTATGACATTGGAAACTAGGCGACGTTATATCTTATAAATGAAATTTTCTTTTTGATTGAACACCAGTGCATATAATAAACCAGACATGTTTACAACAAATTTAAAGAAAGCTATCTAACTAGTGGCTTGCAATTAAACAAGGAAAAGACATTCCGTACTTCTTTTTCTCCTTATGTATTTTCGAGCTGCAAATCGCTGATAATAACAATTTAATTTACTAATTAATAGACTAAAGGTAATCAGTGGAAGCTGAATTCTCCGAAATTTGCATAACTGTTGCCGCTCTGATTAGATTTAGCACTAATGTATTTTAAGGCTCAATCAACAAGGTGCTCATTAGAGGAAGGGCGTTTATTTTATTGAGAGAAATGTGATTGCAATATTAAAATGTTTACATCACGCAGACGTTCCTTCTAATTAATTTCGTAGAAGCCGAGAACCGTCGAGAATTAATACTAAAACTGAAGATCTTGCCATCCCCGAAGAAACGATGTTCTCAACGAAATACAGCTCCCACCTCATACTACCTTAGCAGTGAGACACATGCGCATCTCGTATTTATTTCATAAATGCATAGCTAATCACCAAAACCGAAACTGTACTATAAAGTTCTAATATCGCGAAAGAAGGGTGCATCATAGCATTTTTGTCCGCCAGCTACTTTTTATCAATTCAAAATATCAATATTTCGAACAGAAGACTGAGATTCAATTGTTAATAAGATTTTGAAGCGAATATTCTTGAGACTTTGGACATCTTTGAGATATAGCCGCTCCCGATTCGGATAATTAAACTACTTTACCATGGGATTACGGCAGTCCATTAGAGCAATTTCTTCCTTTTTTTCTGGATGGTTTTTTTTTTATCTCGCGCTTTTAGCTGGTCAAATCGGTAGCCACATAATGAATGGTCGTTTATGATTTTAGTTCTGACATAGAATCGGCGGCGATGTGTTAAACAGTCTAAAATTGGTTACCTCTGTTATATAACGAGAAACAAAAACATGAAATGATTTTCATTATTTTGCTATAAACGAAAGCAATCGGTGTCGAATTTGCTGTAGCATATTACCATACTGTCATGTCAGTATGAGTTCCACAATACAACACAAGCTGTGCTCACGTTTTCCTAGCTTCATCTATCATAATAAATTTTCTTTGATTTTCCGTCTGATAAGTACGTGATTAAGCTTAAGCCCTAGTATATCATGTACCATCATAAATTCAAACATGATGTCCAGCCATTTGGACACAGGCTTTTGTTGCTTTCCCTTTTTCCTTCTCGTCTAAACATTTTATAAAGTATCTTTTTCTCTTAATTACGTTTTCCTTGAACACGTTTCATTGAACATTCAGTTTTCTTTGCCTTGGTCCCGCCTCCACCGTGGATGATTGAACAATTTGACTGTTGGTTACTATTTCCTAACTTTTGTTTTTTTAACCAAAGTCATTGCAAGATCGAGCTTTGACAACTCACCTGGTTATAGTTTTGATTCCGCGCAAAGGTGACACGGCAATATTATAGCGAGTACTATAAAATGGATACCGGAGGTTGCGAACGCGCGATCTGCGATGGCTTCATGGTAATCAACAGTCACTGTTGTAAACGACGGAAAAACAACAACAACGAGAAAGGATTTACATCTTTTACGTCATTCGAATTAAACTGTGAAGTGTTTGAAGATTTCCAATTCCAGTTCAATTATTACTCATCGCTGAAAAGTTCCTTACCTATGACGGGCTCTTTTGATGTGAAAATTGTGTTCTTTTGAGCCTTAACTCATTTATTTTTGTCTGCCGAAAGGAATGGAATTTGTTAACTGCTTTCCCGAATTTTCGATAGCGACACCGCAGTTGATATTTAAATATTGTTATCTTTTTATAATTCAAGTAAATTCTAAAACAGCTGGACTGCCATCTTTAACATGTGCTATTACCTACATTTCCGATCGAATTAAACATTTTAAAAAGTTTTTCCTGATTTTTTACTGTCCAATAATACGGGCTTCACGTTTGGACTCATGAAATGTACATCAAATGTCATAATGTGACTCATGGAAGTAATCCTTTCTATGGGCAGTACATGGTATACATGTTGCACATGTTTCCTGTCACATGGTATTAAGCGTTCTACCTCGGGTTAAAATACGGTGAAAATGCATCGAGAATCGCACGAAGAAAAACCACTGATCGCCAGGGTCGTTATGATTTTGTTATTAACCCTTCTTGCCTCAGCTGCCTTGCTTGGTAATGGTTTTGTTCTTGCAATCATCGGTCGCTTTAAATCCTTACGAACAGTTCATAACATTCTCATCGCCAATCTCGCTGTTGTGGACCTTCTCAGCGCAGCTATAAACGTGCCTATTTATATGATTAGCTACGTTTGGGGGACGAGTTGGTTGAGAGGGAAGATTCTGGCTATCATCAGCAGCAGTCTGTATCGGTTATTTTTGATGTTGAATCTTGTCTCCATGCTCGCCATGATGATAAATATGTACTTGGCCATCTCCTTTGGTTTGAGATATCTCGCTTGGAAGACGAAGAAAAAAGCCCTGATTTGTGCGTTTTTCATCTGGTTCGCGTGTATCGTTATGGCGACCTTGTTTGCTTTGCCTCTACTCGATATCGATCTTGGCGATGCTCATGTCAGGGAATACAGAGCAGAGATCTTCGAACAAGTGAAGTATCCTGTTGCTGCAAGCACGTCGATCCTCATCATCTGTAGTGCTTTGGTCTCTTTCCTGACAGCTTGTGCGATAAAGAGGAAGAGAATGGAGGTAGACATTTCTTTAATTTTGTAGTCGTAGGAAATATAAGTTATGATTTGACTGATCAAGGAGATAGAATTCTCGGCGTCGTTATCAATATGCTGAATTTGATTTGAAAATTGTGCGCTTAAATTGAAGAAACACAAACACCCGCCGGATTCTTCAATCGAAGTCCGGCTATGGCTGCGGTATTAAGCAATCAATGGACCGCGAGATTTCTTTCTTTCAGAAGGCTTTTTGAGCGAAATGAAGTTTTTAGTTGCAAGTATTCTTTGCGTTTTTTCGTCAAAACAACGTTTGGATGAAATTTTAAGCATTTTTAGAGATAGTTTGGCTAAAAGATTGACAAAGTGTCGGTGATCATTTCTCAAAAGCTTTTAATTATGTAGTCAAAAAATACCTTATCTTTACTGCCTAAATGACACTCTTTATATTACAGTTTAGTGATGCCTCGTTTTAGCTCATATCGTCTTAATATTTCGAATGCAGTATCTCAATCATCATTTTCTATCGAGGTGACCTGAAAGCAGTAAACGTACTTGACGTCTTCACATTATTTTTAGAGGAAAGAGATGAATTTGCCTTCCTCTCAAGCTGAAGCCCGATTGAGGGAGGACGTGAGAGCGACCAAAACCATCGCCATTACAATAGCTGCCTACTTCTTCTGCTTTATTCCTACCACCGTGTTTACAGCAGTGGTTTATAAGGAAGATGACGACGATGATTGGCTTTCTTTTACTGCTTCTAGCAGCATTGCTTTCTCGAGCACGGTGAACCCGATTATCTACTTCACAAGAACGAGACGCTACCTCTCAGCTTTCAAACAGCTCCTAAAAAACCCTTTTGGATCAAGCGACTACAAAGAGAGGTCAAACTTCAATAACACTCGAGTGCTCGTAGGAAATAGAGATAGCATTGGACAAGAAAATAGCCTTGACCTCAAAATGGATGGAAACTCAAAAGGAGAAGCGTATGCAGGCAAACGAAGAAATTCATTGGCTATTCTATCAACTGAAAGTGTAAGGGTTCATGAGGCCATTTATTATGCAGATGAAAAACAGCTATGCTGGGAAGGACAAATGTCTAAATGTGGAGTCCAAGCCTTCGATCAGTTTAACGGAGAGGAAATGAAAGGAGGACATGACATACTGAATAAGACGAGAAGAGAAAAAATTCAGGAACGGTTGTCCCCTGTATTTAGCGTTCATTCTCTCGAAGTGGTTGCAGCACACACGGCCGCCGACAGTTCTGGTGGAGCAAAACGAATAGAAAGCGCTCACCACTTTAGGAGGGAAGAAAAAGGAAAAGAGTTTTCCGGAAAAAGAAAAGGCACCGTTTCAAGTAGTCTGGTGTTGCTAAAAGTGCGGAAGGCGGCATGGCAAGCCACTGAGGAGGAAGACATAGGTCAGGCTATGTCTTAACCTTATTAACGCAAAACGAGAATAAGCCTGTGATTTTCTCAAGGATGCTCTCTAAGATATACCATAATAAGTTTTCTTGGATTTCAGCTATGATTTGATTGAAGTGAAAATTCTTAAAATGCTTAGTCGAACTTGACTGAAAGTGACATATCTACAGAGAAAAGTATTCTCCAGGAGAAACGAAGTTCTCAACGAAATACAGCTCCCACCTCATACGACCTTAGAAGTGAGACACATATGCGTATTTCTTACGTATTTAATGCATGCAAAGCTAATCATCAAAACTGAAACTGTACTATAACGTTTTGATATCGCAAAAAAAGGGTGCGTCATTGCATTTTTGTTCGTTTTTTCTGTCACAAAAACGCTTTAAAGCCTTTATTATGTTCAATATTCGATGTCAAAATCCATCTTGATGAAACTTTTCCAGAATACCTAAGAGAGACTGTTAACCGAGCGCACAGAAGCATTTATGGCGCTCTTCTTAATTAGGTGGTGTAGCTGCATCTACGTAGGATTTGGAAGCTAATTTTAGCAGCGCGGCCCCACAAACATAAGCAAACTAAACAATAAAAAATTCCCTCAGAAACAATGGCATGCGATTAGTCTCTTACTCTCTTTGCACTGCTTCATGTGAATCTCGTGGGCTTCTCACATAGTCCGTAGAGTGTGTGCGTGCTGCCTGACCCGCCAACCTCCAGCCGGCGGGCGAAGCGGTCTGAATCGATTTTAGCAGATTTTTCTGGAAGCTCATGCAGCACCGCCGGCTACTTGTTCATCAGTTCAAAATATCAATATTTCGTACAGACGATTAAGATTCAGTTGTTAATAAGATTTTGAAGCGAATAGTCTTGAGACTTTGGACATCTTTGAGAATAGCCGCTCCCGATTCGGATAATTAAACTACTTTACCATGGGATTACGGCAGTCCATTAGAGCAATTTCTTTCTCTTTTCTAGATGGTTTTCTTGAAGACCTCACGCTTTTAGTTGGTCAAATCGGTAGCCATATAACGAATGGTCGTTTATGATTTTAGTTGTGACATAGAATCGGCGGCAATGTGTAAAACAGTCGAAAAATTGGTTACTTCTGTTATCACGAGAAACAAAAACATGAAATGATTTTCATTATTTTGCTATAAACGAAGCAATCGGTGTCGAATTTGCCAGAAAATCTTACCATACTGTCATGTCAGTATGAGTACCAAAATACAACACAAGCTGCGCTCACGTTTTAAAAATTTCGCGTATCATATTGCATTTTCTTTGATTTTCCGTTCGATATGACAAGTACGTGATTAAGCTTAAGCCCTAGTTTATCATGTACCATCATAAATTCAAACATGATGTCCAGCCATTTGGACACAGGTTTTCGTTGCTTTCCCTTTTTCTTTCTCGTCTGAACATTTTATAAAGTATCTTTATCTCTTAACTACGTCTTCCTTGAACACGTTTTATTGAACACTCAGTTTTTAACCGTTTAGCATTTTGATATCCAGTCAACATGCTACCAGAAAAAGACATTTCTAGCCAAGGTTATTGTGAATGTGTTAAAAAGCATTCCCTTCACAGTCTCTTTCCTAAGAGTTCGTGCAAACTAGCGGAAGAGAAAGTAGATATAAGATTCAGGTCCTGATAAATAACTTCAAACGTGAATTGAGTAGATTAGAGTATCACAGTAAAGTTACCTGGCATATGTGGTGTGATGCTCTAGCGTATAGTAACACCTACTTGTACTTGATCGTTCCTCTCTGGAACAATTTTACATTGATGTTTATAAAATAATTCAAATAGTACGCGCGCTCTGATTGGCCATAAAACCATTTTACATGATACATGAGAGTATGTAAACACGGTTTTCGTTCCTCTTTCATTAGTTATTTTATAAGAGAAATGTAAAATGGTTTCCGTGTTTACATGGCCTGATGTAAACACCTGGGAGGTTGGGAGAACACTCGATATGCTGGAAACCACTCCGCTTCGCGTCGTGGTTTCCTACGCTTATCTCGTGTTCTCCCAACCTCCCAAGTGTTTACATCGGGCTACGTAAACATGGAAACCATTTTACATTTCTTCAAAAATGCACGCAATTTAGATTGAAGCGCTGAAGTAGAGAAGCCAAACGCCATCATATTGACTTCCCTCGTGAAAATGGTAAGTCTCAGTTGTTTTATAGGTATTTTTTCTCAACACAGCTTTCCTACCTTGTTGACAACAGTCAACTGAATTGGTTGACGAGTTATTGTAAACCGGTGTAAACTTTTCCAAATCATCAGTTGTGGGAACGATTAATTTTGTCGTGCTCCAGGGCTCCTTTCCAAATAATTTTTAAAAAGTGAATCTACACAAGAAAATTTCTGTCCCTCATCAAATTGTTGTTGTTCAAAAGCCTCTGCTTCTCTCAATAGAAATAAGCAAAATTCAGTTTCTTCGTTTTATTAGTCACCGTTTGAAAGCCTTTGAAGATAACATTAGATGTCAAAGAGCTAATTAACGAGCTTCCGATTTTGAGTTTAATTTCTACTCTATAGCGATAAAAAGACATGTAACTCTAGCACAATTACAACAGGTAAGGTCACACGTCATGTTTTTAACACCAGCTATAACAAGAATCTAGATATTTGTTTCTTTTGATATGACCATGTAAGGCTTGTTGGTCTAGTGGCATGATTCTCGCTTAGGGTGCGAGAGGTCCCGGGTTCGACTCCCGGACAAGCCCGGCGATTTTGTTAGTCCAAATTTTTTATAACGCACCCCCTTCCCGAGGTAATTGTACGTTAAAAAGCTTTTTTGTTGAATTCAATTTTTGAACCAACATGTCGCAGCCAACAAAATGAATCCTCTTTGGCAGATGCCTATGCAACTTTGTTTTTAAAAGTAAAAAATTTCTGAAGTAAGAATTTGAAAAGTTGTCACATATCCCTCTTTACAAGCTCAAAACTTACCATCTCTCTCATTTTATTTACAAACTATCGACATTGCTGGTCCCAGCAGTATGCAGGACGGGTGTCATGTGAACTTCGTAATAGACCTCGCTCACCATTAAGTCTCTCTGTCTCAGTGGTAGAGCATCGGAGCGCGGAATTCCGAAGGTCTGAGGTTCGATTCCTTTTGGGGACTCAGAATTTTTTCTGTGTCCCACGCTCGTGACAAGACGAAAAACATCTTTCTTTAGCTGTCATGTATGTCATGTCATGTATATTCTGGATCGAAGGATATTTTTTACAAATTTGGAACTCTTTTAGATCCTTCAATGTTTCCTTAAATGAAAATAAAAAAAAGAGAGAAAAATCCGATTTGCGATGGATAAATTTTGTATAAAACTGATCCGTGTGAGGCTTGAACTCACGACCTTGGCGTTATCAGCACCACGCTCTGCCGACTGAGCTAACGGACCACACGCTAGGGAGGTGATTCTTGATGCAGTAAAAAAGGACCGTCGACTAATGGATGAATTAATTAATAAATAAGTAAATTTTTATGAATTAATACATAACTAAAGTAAAACAGCAGAAAAATTTATCTGTGTTTGTGTTCCTTGTTTTTTGCTTTTACTGGCAAAACTAGCGGCTCTCAATGGGTTACGGCTTTGACGGCTAACAGTTAAAATGTTGGCCAGTTTACCGCTAACGGTTTACATCTTTCCATTGTTATAACCAAAATTATTTTTTACGGTTTGCTTTTCTTACGACCAACGGTTTAAAAATTGTCCTGGTGAAATATTTCGGCCGTTTTACGGCGACCGGTTGTCCCAGTGAGAGCCTCCTACCAGAGTTCACAGTGACCACAAAGCCGAAAAATGAATCGTCACACATTGATACATTTATCCTGATGTATATTGGAATGCAGTAGAACCCCGTTGAGTCGATATGACGACTGGACAGAAAAGCAGATCGAAGTACCGAAGATGCTTGTAAGTCGATGGGAAATGACTTACAAATTATCTAGAGAGTTCAAGTTCATATCTTCTCTTGAGCTAATTTTTCGTTAGTTAGAAAAATAATTAAGCCTTCCAATTGGATTTTCTAAGTTTAAAATCTGCGTTAACCTTGCCATCTTGCTTCGTTTGTTAATTAACGAAACTGAACGTGGAGCTCGGTATCGGTAATTTTCGGTCTGCGTGTTTTGGTTAGAAAAGTCATTAGAATTACAAATTATTTTATGAATTAATATTTATATTTGCGCTCAGTCTTGCACGTGAAAAGAGCTTAGAAAACCATGTCAAATTTTAGGGTTTTTTTGCAGCTTTTGTGCAACCGGGAAAAAAATTCATTTATTTCCTTTTGCCTCTGTTATGGTCATGGCCTTTCCGATTTCTTCAGCTGTATCGAGTGGTTCAGATTTGACGTCAAGTATTGATAGATGGAATTTGGTAACGACTTTGCTTCAGGTAAATAATTTTTGTATTAATACGGTTTGGATAGAAGTTCAGCGTTCGTGTTATTCGTTGTTGTTCTTGTAAGATTAATTCATAAAGTTAAATGTGAGAATGAGTAATAAAATGCACAAGGCGCAATTTATTTCAGACCAATGCGCCAACAATGTGGGAATTAAAAATTTCTTTCGTTAACCAGGAACACATCACTTGGAGCCTCCAACTGCTCTGTATTTTTGTCACGGCGTTTTCACAGACAAGTCTATTTTTAGTTTGAATTTACTGCGAACTAAGACTCCCCACGAGAGCACATCGACCAATCAGGATTAGCGCCTGATTAACTTCTAACTTTACTCGTTAATATATCGAAAGAAAAACAGCAGAGAGATGCAAGGCTTTTTGCGATAGTTCGAGTGCAGATTCATATGAACAAAGGCGTCCCAAGCTCAGGTCTCGATAAAAAGCAAACGATTAATTCATGAAAGCGTCACATGTTGTGTGACTCGGTGTTAACGTACGGAGGAACCGTTGAGAATTTGAGCATGCTATAAGGAATAGTATGGGGAACGAAGTATGGTCGATTTACAACGATAAATATTTCGAAATATGAACATTTTACACGTTAAATCAATAGAATCTACTCACATCTTTTGTGTCCGTTGTGGTTTCCGGCGTACTATGCCGTTTAAAGCTTGCTTTGCCGTCATTGTTATTCCCGTTATACAACGGTCGAAATCGAAGTGCGCAGCGTTGACTTCGTCTTATAACAGGAATAACAGTGAGCTTGGGACACTTGTGGTGTGAATATTTTTGAAAATACCTCGAGAAGCAGCAGTTCTGAGGAAAGTTCTCGTAAAGATGAACCTGACTCTTGACTGTTCAGTGATCAAAGCGACAGTAGGCACCGTGAATTTTGCCGTGAATTTTATGCGGCAATTATCGACTTAACCTTATCGCACTTAACAATAATAACCAAGATTTGAGAAGATCGAAGCCCAGTTCCAAAGAGTAGCATTATCTTAAGATCTAGACAAACGCTCTTCATTTTGTTGTACCCACTTCTGTTCAATCCTGCGTCGCAAAATTTCCTTTACGGACTGTATGGATGAAGATTCTTGAGATGAAGACAACTCGCACACAGCTTGCTCACGCAATTTCTTGTTTCCCTGCTCTCCATCATCGCTGGCATTTTGGCCTCTTCATCGTCTTGAGTTTGGACTCTTTTCATGAAATTTCTTTAGAGGGGCCAGAATCAGAAGACGGATGACCTTTAATACACACGAACATTAAAAAAATAATAATAATAAATAGAAATAAAATTACAACGATGATCCGCAGTCTTACGAATTTTTTTCGCAAATGTGAAAAATTTGCTAAGGATAGTGGAATACATAAGGAAAGTAAGGATTGGAATACTGGAACACAGCAAAAGAAAGGCGGAATTTGCGTAGTTTTGATATGAAGACGTCCCTGCATAGGGCCACCATATTTTTTCTTCGCGTTTCATGGATCGTATTACCCAAGTAAGCTCGAGTAGCCTATTTCCCGCGAAAAGATAGTCTAAAAATAAACCGTCCTGTGAAAACGCCGTGACATAGGCCTAGTACGGGAGTTGAAGGCTCCAACTGATGGGCTCCTGTATTCACTTAATAAACTACAAGTGTCTCATACTCAGAAAAAGGTTTATTTCTTTAAAACTCTATTGACATCACCCAAGTTAATTAAATAAATAAAATTCGATTCATTCAATAAAAAAGGCGTCAGACTCTTGGCGGGAAAATTTGGACCAATAAGCACAGAGTTTCCTCTGGCAACTTTTCGGACAAAATTTTAACAAGGCTTCCTTTAAAATTTACCGCTAAGAAATAAGAAAATAACAAATTGTGCAAAAAGTTGAAAGAGAACGCCAATTTTTCGCTCAGAAATACGTAAATAACTTGAGAGTTTCGTTATTTGCCTTAAAAATTTTCAAGTCTATCTCCTGACCTTCGCTTTTCGACGTCAACTCTTTGCATGAGGTGATGGATGTAACTTCGTAACGGAAAAGCATCATGGCAAGATATTGTAAGTCCAGTGAGAAATATTCCGGTTCTCCTAAGTTTTGGTTGATTTATCAAGTCAAAGTTTGATTTATTTTCTGTCATATAGCTTGCCATCATGTTTCAGCACAATAAAAGGCTTTAAAAGCGGCCACTTGTCGAATGCAACACAGGGGACAGAAAGAAAATCACCAGAAAATTTTATATGCAGGTTCAGAACTAAATTCCATCAATTAAAATTTCTTTTTTGGATATAAAGTAAATAAAAAAGAAAAAAATAGTTGTTGGAGCATACATCTTGAATTTAGTTTTCACCACGAAAGCTAGGGCATTGCAAAATTAACTTCCAAGTTTATTCAGCTAAATTGGCGAAGCAATTTGCGAGATAAAAGAGAATTAAATTTTTTTTTCGAGAGCTATCTTAATTGTAATTAGTCCGAGATTCTAGGTTCCAAGTTCGTGAAGCTGTATTCACAAAGTAATAATAGAATATTGGAGTGAACTCTTTGAATTTAGCCGCAAGAGCTGGGACACTAGACAACCAGGCTCCATATTCTCAAAAAAAGTTAACGGATAAATTGAAGTACAAAATGGCGTCTAATATAGGAACACACCCTTCAAATATGAATTTAGCCTAGAAAGCTCGAACGTTTCACAGGCAGGCTCCACGCAATCTACTAAGACTTCCCACAGCAAATCATTTTGAGAGAAAATTTTCAAGAAAAGGCCACCGAGTCATTTAGTAGAAAAGTCGCCTTTCATCAATGTAGAATTTCCCTTGAAATTTTTTTACATTATTAGGATTTATTCAGTCGAACTTCTAGTTAAGAGCCGCTCGGACTAGGTGATGTACTCGTGTCAACTGGTAGTTTTAAATCAGCAATACAACTCGTGCAGCTCTCTGACCAAACCAAAGGGAATGCTCACCTATAAATGTACTCACAAAAGAATGGTTCTCTTTACCTTCTTTACAGGGCCATTTATCTCATTCCTCTCGGGGCGGAACCTTTTTCTTCATCACGAAAATAACATCTTCGATCCCCGACGGCCAGCGTATTTTAATGAAAACTTTGCGATTGTTGATGAATATAGCCGGAATAACAATTGCAGCCAATAATCGGCTAGATTGTCGCAGATTTGGCACGGAGTTACGTTTTTCGTGCCTATCTGGATAAACATGCATGAAGAAGAATGACAGGCATTTTGTGTTCTGAATGCGAACTTGAAAAGAGGAAAAAAAATTAAGAGTAAACGAGCTCATGGATATAAATCTTTATTTCGAAATTGTATGAATAATTAATTGAACTTGGGCCAGATTTTCGCACAGCACCGTATTTTATTAGACACTGCAGCACTTCTCAAAATGCTGCAGCACGTCTTATCACTGGAACTAAACGATACGAGCACATCAAACCTGCCCTTCGAGAACTACACTGACTGCCTGTTGAGTCACGGATTATGCTCAAAGTTCTGCTTATCACTTTCATGATTATCCATGGACTTTGTCCAGCCTACTTGTCATCCCTCCTTCAACAACTGCCCGCAACGAAGCCTACGCTCATCCTCTAAACTACTTTTTACCGTCCATACTGTGAACTCTCTGACATACGGTAAACATGCCTTTTCTTTCTCCGCACCTATATTATGGAACAGTCTACCGGATTCTGTTCCCAGCATCAACCTTACATCTCGTTTATCAAGCCTTAGTAAAACCTCACTTTGATTACTGTGACATTGTTTGGGGTAACTGTGGGAAAACGCTACAAGACAAACTGCAGAAATTGCAGAATAGAGCAGCCCGTGTGTTGACATTCTCTAACTATGATGCTGATGCAACTGAGCTACTCGAGTTTTTAAGGTGGAAAAATCTTACACGCCAGCAGGAAATTCACAAAGCCACCATGATGTTTAGATGTCTGCACGGGCTAGCTCCAGAGTATCTGTGTTCAAAGTTTACGTGGCGTGACTCTGCTTATGACCTCAGGGACTCTGAAAATAAGCTCAATGTTCCCTTACCGCGCATTAATTATTACCGAAAAAGTTTTAGCTACAATGGCGCCACATTATGGAACAGTCTACCATGCGATATAAGGAACACAGAGTCTCTGGGGGTATTTAAACGTAAGATCAATGACATTCTTTAAGTCTAACGCACGGCACTCACGGAAAACAGCTTTTAGTGTTATAGTATATAGTTTGAGTTTTAAATATTCTAGCGTATGTGATATGTATTTTTTAGGCTGATGTATTGACGGTGTTTAAATAAAAATAAAATGAAATGAAATGAAATGTTAAAAATACAACATCTCTTTCATCTTTTTAATCTCCCCTCAAAACATTCTTGTTTCGGAAGTTTTGTTTTTGATTTATTTTACTAGTAACTGTACCTAGCTTTCATGTCACTTAATTTTTAATAAATTATTTCATTTATTTTATTTATTACTGCTATAAGAAACATTTTTTAGGTTTAAACTAATTTATTTTTTCTATATAGTAATGTAAGCGCTTTGATTTTTCTAAATGCGCCCAAAAAACTTTATTATTATATATTATATAAAGTGTTCTTGGATAAAGAAAACAGTTGCAGAAATAATATTTGCCTCAGGGACTAAGGCTTTTCTGTTTACAATAGTATGGGGCTGTGCAGAAAATCTTACCTAACAAAGCTAAAATCAAGAGATCTCTTTATTATTCTTTTATCAACCCTTCCAAACGTCTTCCAAGTTATCATGAAGACTGATGTGACATTTTTAGTGACGTATCAGGGATCATAGCGAAGAGGAAAGGGTGTAGTAAGCCTTAAATGATATTGGTGCCACGCACGTTGACTACTGAATGAAGAGTAATGATTATTTCTTTTGCCTTTTTGACTTTTCAAACTAAGGAATAAAGAAATTTTTTTTGTTTCATCCATCTACTGTTAAAGCCATTGATTTTCTAACATTCCTAGCCTAGTTATACTGCATTCAAAAGAAATTTATGTCGTGTATTCACAGCTATTCTCGAAGGACGGCGATTCAGCTGCTATTAGTGTGACAGGTATTCGCGATCCGCAGTTTTTACCAAGATCTGTTGGATCATAGTATCGAGACCTTAACTCGGTTCCTCTTTTGAAACGATTAAATGAAGCATACGAAAGGTAAGAGAATTAGTGACACACTTGGCTGCACCCCGTGTGCCATTGTATTGTTATTATCAAATGTTGACTGACTGGACAGCCTTGAGATCTTCTATTATTAATATGAAATCAAAAAGCTCCTACCCCATCCCCACAGCGGGTAATCTCGATCCTATGAATTTTGATTATAAGTCTAAACCTTTTAATGCATATACTGCAAAGTGTAAACAGTTTTATTCTACGATGATATCAAGTAAAGCGAGAATCCCGGATGGCTTTAAAAAGTTGACAGCGGATTTTGAGCTTTCAAATGCGCAGGAAGTTTTCTCTATTCCATATCTTGTTGCGAGCGAAACGTATGTTTGGTCGTTTCAATACAGAGTATTGAATTTCATTTTGTTTACAAACGATAAATTGTTCAAAATAGGGTTAAGTGATTCGGACAAGTGTTCTTTTTGTGGAACCTATACGGAAGATCTGTACCACCTCTTCTTTAACTGCTCCTTTGTGCAAGCTTTTTGGAACGTATTTACAGTCTGGTGGTTTGATCTTAGTGGCGAATATTTAATTTTGTCTTTAAAAGATATTATGGTTGGCTTACTTCAGAGGAACGATCTGTTAAATTATTTGATAATTTTAGGGAAATTGACTATTTGGGAATGTAGAAAAAATAACACCTCTCCAATATTTATATTGTTTTTGCACAAGGTTGAAGTTAAAAAACCAAGTTGAAAAAATAATTGCTATAAGAAACAGAAAGCTTCGCGATTTTCAAATTAGATGGGAATTTCTCATATAATTTTGTGTTTGCCCTTTTTTTAAGGAAAAGAATGGAAGACCAATGCATAAACTTAGATCTCATATTCTTCCTTGTTTATTAGTTTATTGTAGTTTATTTTTGTTAGAGAATTAACTGGGCGTCGCCATCGCCGATATGTGTCACTGTGCAATGTTAAAAGGAAATAGTACTTTTTGTATGTAATGGTATAATTAGTCGATTGTGTTGTTAATAGAGCTGGATACTGTAAGTAGTGTAATTATTAGTGACTGTAAGTAGAGTAATGTAAATAAGCATTTTAATTAGTGTAAGTGGTGTTTCATATTGTATTGTAAGTATTGTGTTTGTAATTTAAAAAAAAAAAAAAAAAAAAATTTAGTACTGAGCAGAAAACTATTAATTAAATATAAGTTAACGGTCATGCGCTTTACAATATCAATCAACAAAAATAGCCTTGTTAATTTCCGCTCGCTTTCTCGAAAAAACTTTCGAGAGTATTCATGAACGGATTTAATTAAATGCGTGAGCTACATAGCCTTACGAGTATTTTTTGGTTTCCATCCAATTAATTTTGGTTTCAACTCAATAAATCACGAAAACTCCTCTGAATTCGCTTAAAGGCTGAGGATATAAATGGTATACCAAGCAGTCGGTAATACAGAGACTCTACCAGGAATTCGAGCACTTCTTTCAAGTGGTGATCTTCTATGGCACTTAGGTGGCTTTTTATTGCGACCCTGTTGTGTCTATCTTTTTATTTCAACAAATCAGGTATTTATAATTCGAAAGAGTAATGACTACCAACGAATCCTGAAAAAACACTCAAAGGCAGGTTATCTATCATGCTTGCTAAGAAAAGAAAAAGCAGTCGTGTCTCATATCGACATCAAATACTATTGCTCATAGACCTACCTTAGGCCGTTATATATGTTTCTATGTTGGACATACGGTTATTAAACGTTTGGATAACATAAGGCTCGTGACAGTCGAAAGGAAAATTTTGTTTACGTTTTTTGTAAAAATGCTTTCTCGCGACTTTAGGAATTTAGTATATTCGGCGATCCATCGTTATTACGGATAGCCTCTTAAAAGAAATTAAAGCTGTGTGCTGCACTGAGGCCTGCTTTATCTGATAATACGGATGATGAAACAAAAGCCAGCTACAGTGGTGAGAAGCGAAGAAATACCGGAGTATTTATATTTTATTTAGCGGTTGATGCGGAAACTAGATATGGATGTGACCTTCTCATGAAGTTAACTGACGCAGCAAATAAGCAAAAATAACGAATAAATAACTTACACAAAGGGTATTTTCACCCTGACGTAAGCCTAAACAAATAAAACTAAATAATTCGAGAAGTGACTCTGAGAACTAAAAAACTGATCGAGCAAATACAACTTTTTTATTCGTCCGAGTTTTAACAGTCAAGCGTAGAGCACCTATAAGGGTGTCATGACCTTACGCTACAGCTTCGCAAATATTCGGACGAATCAATGAATTTGTGAATAAGAAAAAAAAAAAATCGATCAAAGCTTTTGATAAAGTTATTTGCATGAATCACAATGTCACGCTACAGTCAAAACTACAAGATCGGAAGCCATCCTGCACCGTGACCGGTGACCAAAATTAACTTCTGACAATCTTAACTCTAAACTCTGTTGGCCGGTTCATTAAACTAAGGGAAAATTAACGTTTTGTCACAGCTAATTGCTGGCCCAGACGTTTTCTCACCAGACAATGACTAAGGGATGTTTAACCGGATCATTAATAAGCCAAAAAAAAAAAAAAAAGAGACACGTTTTTTTTTTAATTCTGTCAGCATTACACCCCTTCTCGATTTATCAACAAAAACCTATGTCAGCTAAATAATATATATATCTTATGACTCCTTTCAGAAACCGAAAAACTGCAATCGAAATATTGGCCACAATCTAGTCCTCTTGAGTGTGTCAACCTAAAGTTATCTACCTAAACCATTGAATTTGCCGAATAAATGTGTGCTATGTCGTTTTTTCATTGTCTTGGTTGCAATAGCCTGTCCAACAAGGAAAGGACAAAGCAAATGAAGACTAAAACTCACGGAAAATGTTGTGATTCAGAACAGCCCAATGTAGTTCTGTCTTGTCAAACTGTCAACTGACATCGTAGTCATTGCTAATTCTTTCTTAAAATTCGTTTTGAGTCTCGCAAAGGCTGGACAACTTTGAACTTGATAAAAGAAGCAGGAGAGGAAACATTTAAAGACAGGTTTATCACATCTTTTTGTCGATTGTTCAGATTTACAAAGAATACTTTACATATCAAGGAAATATGGTTATTTTGAGCTCGATGATTAGATGGATAGAGTAGTTAATTTTTTTACAAGAGCTCCATACGAATGAATGAGATATCCTTCCTCAAACAGTCTGAGGTTTTTTTTCGAAGCCCTTCCGTCTGTGCTGAAGAGAACTTGTTGAGGAATCGGGTCAAAATTTTATACAACGTACTTTCATAGCAAGTAAGCTGGCAATTTTTGGGTTCGGTCGACGAAAACTAGTAAAAACCAGGAATATATTATTTTCATAAGTGGCACACACACAAAAAGGATAAATCAAAGGAAAATTAGTCCTCTGACATGGAATTTAAAGATGGTGTTTGGACTGACTCACTGATTTAATTTAGAGGTGGAGAATAAAGCTGAAAGCTCCAAGACTTTTCTTCCCAATGCTCATGCCTCCCAAATACTCATTTTTTTTTTAATGCGTGTTTTTTCCAGAGCTGTGTGACTCTTAACACGCCAGAAAATCTGATGAAAACAAAAACAAAAGAACACAAAAAAGGGAAAGAAAAAAACAAACAAACATAAAACCGGTCGGTTAAAAATTAGGAAGAATTGTTTGTAGCTTAGCGGAATTTGTGAAATCCTTTGACTACACAATCACATTTGGTCTCATCTCATTTAAGGTGCTCTAAACCAAGGCTATGAGGATGTTTACGTTTCTCTGAGAGGACGCGATTCAGACGACTGTGGCACGTTGATTCAACCATGCAAGTCCATCGCCAAGGCAGTTCAACGAGTGGACATAGGTGGATACATTTATCTCGATGGCACTGGCACGGAACGAAAACCCTATGACTGCGGGTTGTCAGTGGTATCCAACCACCAATCTGGTATTATTGTCCAGAAGAGTTTGACGATTGAAGGTTTTAAGTCCAGGTCTTATGTGTCATGTGTCAATGGTTTCCATTTCGTTAAGACAGATAGTCGACCGTTAGGGATCTTTCTGTCTGGTATTGTTTTCCAGAAAACGCCGTTAACCTTTCAAGACAGTGATAATCTAACGATTTCAAGTTGTTCTTTCAAAGAAAGCTTCACTGCAGTAAGCGTTTACGCAAAAAGTAACAGTGTAATTCGTATAAACATTGATGGCTTTTCTTCCTTCGAGAACAACACTTCTTGTCTAGATGTCATTTGGCGAAACCCCTCTCAGGTGGGTGATCGAGCGGTATTTATAGATATGAAACATATCATGTTTACGGGAAACGGACTTGGCAAACAGCTTGCAAGGGGTTTAGTTACAATCAAATCAGAACTGGAGCAACCACCTCGTTTGCACGTCCAAATCTCTTGTTTGCACGTCACAGCGACAAAAAACCATGGGTATTTTGTAAATCTTAATTTATCGGAAGCTGTGACGAGTGAAATGTATACAGATGTCGTATTAGTCAACAATACCGTCACTGAACCGAGCTCCGGTGGGAAAAGGTACGACACGGTAAACAGCTTGTTCAGCTCTCTAACTAAGAAAACCCATGCAACCTTCCGTAACCTAACATGTTCCCACAGCCGTTTTTTGCGATGTATCAAAATTCAGTCTAAAGAGTCGCAAGTGGAAATTCAGAATTCGTCGTTCATAGAACTACAAATTCCAAACGAACGCGGGGGAGCGATTTTCTTTAATTCAACGTTACGTGGGTCCCTTACGCTTTTCAACAACATGTTTTATCGGATCATAGCTAAGGGCGGCGGAGCTCTGTTCTCACACAGTGAATATGGAACCCTGCATCTACAAATCATGGATTGTAACTTTACTAAATGTGCTGCAAAAACTTTTGGATGTGCAATTCTTGTTGGAGATCAAACAAATAGAGCCGGCACTAAGAACCTGATTGCAAGCTTTAAAGAGATCAGAGCGCATGATTGTTATGGTTACAAAAACAGATGCGACAGTGTTAGGCTCATGTTAAGAAATGGAAAAGTGGTCATTGAGGATTCTTCTTGGAGAAACAATAATTGGTCGGTGAGTGGAACCCTGTCTGTTATCAACACAGGTGGTAATACTGATTTAATTATTTCTGGATGCACGTTTTTTCATAACGCTGTTAATGCGCAGGAAATCACTGTTGAGGCGTATAAACGTAAAGCAGGCAATGTTACGATTGCAAACAGCGAAATGCTTAGCCAAGAAACTGGCAAAAGTCGGGCGGTGTTCATAACTTCAAACTTCAGGACCAGCCTTCTTAACGTTATAGTAAGGTCGTACTTTGACGCGCTGCGTATCACAGGTTGGGATCCTTATATACTCAATTCTTCATCGGATGCTTATCCCTTTTTCTTGTCAATTTTCAACTGCACCTTCCAGGATAGTGTCAGGGCTATTCATGCAACTTCACCCGAACCATCTCAAGTGGAATTGAGAATTGCGAATACCATTTTTATCACAAGAAAAACTGGCGACCTATCTGGACTTCGTTTCTTTATCTTACCTCTGAAGATAATCCACCGTCCGGACGTTATCGTCGATTTGGACAATGTAACATTTGCCTCTTCGCCTTGTAACCTCTTGGCTTTTTTATTTTCAGGCAATAAATCTATTCGCATCAAAAGGTCTCAATTCACTAACTGCCTTTGTTCGAGTAAATGGGCATGGGATGGCATAGCAAGTAGTTACAGTGTGTACACATTATCTGTTGGTGCCATTTCGATTTTTTCAGGCCACGATCACAAGTTGAGCCAAGGATGTGTCGACGTTAAAGACAACAACGATACGCACCCTATTTGGGAATATCAGGCTCACGTAGAGTTTGAAGATACGTTATTCGAGGGTAATGGAGGAAAGATTTCTGGTGGTGTACAAGTGTGTAATGGTAACACAACCTTTAAAAGATGCCGCTTCAACAATAATTTTGCTGCTGAACAATCTGGTCATGTTTATCTAGCCTATGGAACTGGAAAAGCAGATTTCATTGACTGTATATTTAACTCGTCAGCAGAAAACCTGAAACTGAACAAGACGACTTTTCGAAAGTCGGCATTCGTGAAGTCAGACAGTGGAGGACCAATTGGCCTTGAAAACACAACCATGTCCTCTTTCTATCCACAAAGTTATGCGGGCTATCCCGTATTTGACATCTCCAGCGGAGGTTACGTTTATATGGATGATAATTCAACCATTCAGTGCCCCATTGGCAGCAAGCTTGTGTTGGATAATGCCACGCATTTTGTTCAAGATGACTACAATAGTAAATTTTGTAGGATAAATATTACAGTACTGAAGTACTTGTGTCTGCGCTGCATCCTAGACTCTTACAGCATGATACGTGGATCTACTCATGGATTATCGTTAAACAACACAGTAGAGTGTCTTCCATGCCCGTTTGGTGCCAGTTGTGTCAAAAGAAATATAGTGGCCAAACGTAACTATTGGGGTCATCTAAATAGCTTATCAGTCCCACCATCACTGACGTTTATTGCCTGTCCAGAGCATTATTGCCGACAGCCAGGCCCAGGCGCAAACGGTTATAACAGTTGCTCAGGGAACAGAAGAGGAATTCTGTGTGGTGAATGCACTCCAGGATACAGTGCAACTGTGTTCTCACCAGAGTGTCGAAAGGACGAGGAATGTGAAAACTATTGGTTCTGGGTATTGACATTCTTATTAACGATTGTATTATCGTTATACCTATTAAGAAAACCACCAACTTTAAGTTTTCTTCTCTATAAGATAATTTGGTTTAGAAGGAAAGAAAGCCCACAAGAAGACAGCACGTTTCATGAAGCCGACCACAACACAGATAACGCCTATATAAAAATAACTTTTTATTTCTATCAAGTTGCTGAAATTTTAATGGTCAGTTCTAAAGAGAGCCTTCTGCAAACGGTGCCAGGTATCTCTGCAGTTATCGCTGTGTTCAACTTTAAGCTACGCGCCCTTAATAAAGGGCTCGGTTGCCCTTTCCCTGGGCTAACATCGGTGACAAAGCAACTGGTTCTTTCCGGTACCGTTTTCTTGACAATGGCTGACGTTGCTCTCGTTTATTTCGTCCACTGTGTTATCAACATAATTAGGCGCAAACAGAAGCCATCCCTCCTCCATTACATGGCCGTCACCATGGAGGTGTTGCTGTTAGGCTACGAAAGACTGGCTGAAACTTGCCTCAAACTGATGACCTGTGTATCAATCGGATCTGAAATGCGGCTTTTTATCGATGCAAATGTTACATGCATGCAGTGGTGGCAGTATCTCGTTCTTGCCTGCATTGCGGTGTTTATTGTCCCCTTCATTGTCGTTCTTTACCTCGGATCATCCAAGCTTTACAAGGGTTCAATGAAAGAAACTGAATTTCTTGCTGCGTGCGTGCTTCCATTGCCATTTCTTGTGTATTGGCTTCTTAAGAAAACCGAGAAACGACCAGGGAATGAATCTCTTGTAGTACAAGCTGTGAACAAAGATGTCATGGAAGTACTTCATGGTCCTTTCCGTCCACCGAGGAGCGACGATGGAGGGACACTCTACTGGGAGAGCGTGCTGATTGGCCGAAGACTAATTCTCCTTGTTTTTCATTCGTTCATAACAAGGCCAATGGTACGAATGATCGCCATGGCTACAGCTTGCTCTCTGATAGCAATCCACCATGTCTTAAAGTATCCATTTCGAAATGCGATAGCTAACAGAGTCGAGACATTGTCCCTTACTGCTTTGTTAATTATTTCCATGATTAATCTTACCAAAGCAACCCTGATATCATTTGGTATCACGATCATCGGGCCTTACGGAAGTTTTCTTGATGTTATGGAATGGTTCGAGGTTGGTGTACTGGGGATTGTACCGGTATTAGTGTCCGTTTTGGTCATTAGTGCCATTCTCTCTCAACTCCTCCGCGTTTTGTTATTTCTTTTCGAGCAAGCTGGCAGACTTTGTCATCGGCCTGGCAACACTCATTGCTCCAGGGACGAACAGAAAAGGCCCCTCTTGGATGTTGCTGGGTGAGAACGTCAAAGCGTTTTTTTCCAAGTTTTATCAAAAAACTTCGGAGAAATGATTGTTACAAGTTTCAAGATAATTTCTTTCCAACTTTTACGGCAAACGTTTTTATTTTCTCTATGCGAGGATCAAAATAGAAAAGTTAAGGGTCCGAAAAACTCCGTTACAGGTGTGAAATAAATTCACCTTCAGTACAAAAGCAAAGAGATTCGGTTTAGGCCAAAGAACAAGTATACCTTTATCTCATAAGTATATTGGTAGAAAAAAATGTTTTCAAATGGGCTGCCAATAGAGATATTACGGTTTTGAGTTCTCATAAAAGCCTTAGTTTGGCTTTAGCTATTCTCACAGCTTTAACGGTCGGTGAAGTTGTACCACTATTCAAAAGTAGGACAGTGTGTCACTCCATACCTGTGTCGAGTTTCGAGCCAGTTGGAGTAATTTTTGTAAATCTCATGGGGTGTGTAATACCTCATTTGTCAACCTAGCCTCTACTCTTTCGGATAGCAAAATAATCTTAATTATTCCATTTGCTATGTTTATAAAATACTTCAATGGCAAATTTTAAGTTTTTTGTCTAATTAATCGGAAATGTGACGAGATATTTTTCAACCCTCACAGAGTGTGTTGATTTAAAACCCCTACTAAAAATTTTTCTCATATGTATCAACGCTTACTTCAGATATTTTTTAAGGCCCTCTGTCATAGACTCAACTCTCTCCCCCCCCCCCCTATTTTTAAAATTCTATGCATTTCTTTTGTATATATATATATTTTAAAAAATTCCAACTTTTAAAGAAAATAGGCTCGAGTAATTCGGCAAGTTGTTTTTGTTTTCGGACCCGGAAAACTTGCTAATTGATGCAAACAATTGTTTGTAAAGTACGGCTGGATGTAACCATTTGTTTTATCGTTGTTGTAGTTCAAATTACAATGTCACACATAGGATAGATGCCCCCATTAATTAACTGTTACATGGAGTTTTTTTTTTTGTATACGTATAAATTACTGGATAATGCCAATCATGGTATCACCTACCATCGTGTATTTGGAAGAAAGTTAGCGTTAATTTGCGGAAGGCTTACTCTTGCGAAAAGCAAAATTAACATTGAAATATGTACTCGGTACGTATTTTATAGTCGAGTTTCATGAAAACGTGCTTAAAATAATAAAAAAACTTATTCATTAAAACACTGAAAAAGTTGGGTTATTAGTTTCTAATTATGTACATTCTACGATGTGAAGTGGGGAGATTGCACTGTCATTAACTCTCTCACTCTGATGAGTGACCAAGACAGAATTTCTCCTTACAACATCAATACAATATCAAGCAGACAAGTGATGAGAATAAAGAAAAATATCAGTTTGGGGATTATAAGTTGATCCAATACCAAATTCTCCAAAGTAACATCACAAGAACTGTATGGGAGACAGTAAGGAGAATTACTATTGAGATCTTGGGAATTAAAGGGTCAATAATACGCCAAAATTAAGCAGAGAAACTGTGCAGCGATGGTAGGCAGAATATGGGGTTATATTCAGTGTAGACGCTCATGGTCAATTTACTTCAAAGCTAAGGTTGAAGTAAGATTACATTTTTGAACCTCCAAAGAGAGACACTGTTGCTAAATTAGATTATTTTATTTTTGAGCATTTTTCATGTATTACTTCCAACATTTAATAACTACTGGAAATTTCATTTAGGACCTGTTTACATGGAGGTTGGGGACCCCAAGTAGGTGAGATAACCGGCCGCCTTCCGTATAAACTCTCATCTTAATCACGTTTTTATGATAGGCGGGGTGACCCGCCAAGGCAGGTTGCCCGGTTTGCTAAGTAGGGCAACCCGGTCAGCTGGGGTGACAATTTACCATGTAAACGCCTCAAGGTGAGGTAACCCGATTTTTAACACTTTGTACATTTTATAGTCGTCCCCAACAGAATTAAAACGTTAAAACTCAAACTTTTAGGTCCTCTTAGCGATGAAACCTCGAGGGAAATTTAGTTATTATTTGAACTACTGTCTCCTTGAAATGAGCAGTCTTCCGCAGTAACTCTCTCTCGGTATAGCGTTCAAAACATTTCGTCACTCCGACAACATCTACTCCTACTACTATATCAGTGAGTCTTTATATTTATTTACAAAGTGTTCTGGAACATTCCAGAAGTTTACACAAGAACTATTTGAGTAGTATTACATAATCAATATGTGACTCGATGAAATGTCCTGGAAACAACAATTACCCATAACAGATAATCTCGAAAAGACGTCTATAGGTGATAAAAGAAAGAAATATCACATGCTGAGTGGAAATCGTCTGTGTGCAATCATTCATACACTTTTGCTCCTAAAAATAAGAAGTGTAAAATCTAATTTCCCGAACCTCTGTGCACGGTTTCCTTAAATATGGCATCACGTCCAATGATCTTTATTCGCCTTAATCCCGCGAGTCCGCGGGTAATCACGCCTCCCGCAATCGAGCGAACATTTGGAACAACTAGCGCACTCCCTCGTGTTTGCCGGGTGCACAAGTTGAGTATAGTTTATACCCTTTCGATAAACTGAAAGATTGATTAACTTTTATATTAAGTTGACGAGGCCAGCATTAGACTGGCACATGAAGCCGAAAATTCAGCTACAAGAATTACAAGGGTTAATTTTTTGCGCATTCATTTTTAATTGATTTTGCTCAAAAGTTAGACCTTAGGTAATGTGTTTGAAGCTTTCGCTCAAATAGATTAATAACTATAAATAGTCTCTTTTTACACATAGAAGAATTATTTTCGGTTTCCCAGGAAATAACTTTGGTTTCGTCCCATGGCGTTGAATAACAAGCACGCCTATCTACTCAAAATCCCGATCACGAAGAGTACGAACTTGTGAACTGAGTGAACAGAAGACATCATTTGGCCTCTCTTCATTACATCTTGATTTCGGAGGCGATTTTTAATGGCACTCTGGCGGGTTTTAACAGCAGCTTTACTCTACTTATCATCTTCAATCAATGAATCAGGTAGTTATAACGAGAGTTAAAAAAATACGTTGACGGTAATCGATTTAGAGTAAGAGTGAGTAGGAATAGTATTCTATATAGGTTGTATTAAATCATCGAGCGGTTAGCAAAGCTGGGATCGAATAGGCGATTTGATTTCTGATCGCTTTGCGGCAAACGTTTCGTGACAAACCTTATGAGGTTTGAATGATCACAGAGAAGTGCTTGTTATCGGGGACGATCAATTTCATTTCATAAGTCTTCCGCATCAACAAAAGGGTTTGGTGCTATTTAGTAATAAAAAATGGATGAAATAACATGTTAATAAAGAAGAAAGCTTAGCCATCGCTGGCATAGTTCTGTTTAGATTGCTGTTGCAGTAGTCGTCAGCTTTGTTAAATTCTTTAAATGCGAAGGGTAGAAGCACCTTCCAAGATCGATACACCTCCACCCTATGCACTTCCCCCACCCCACCTTATTATCCTAATTTTAGGAGATAGAGCCCTCTCCGATTCGGACAAAAGTGGGCAACTTGTCTTGCGCAATTAGCTCTCCTTGCCTATCCAGTCGACGCAAAAAGGGCAAGATATCACGCCCTCATACATCATTTGAGTTTTTTTACTATTGGTAAGTTTAATCCTCGAGTTTATCTCACTACGCAGGTTTTAATGCAAGATTTTTAATGAAAAAAAAAAAACCAAAAAAAAAAAACACTTCAAGCACAATGAAATTTTTTTAATATGTTTGTTATCTTTATCCACTGATCAAATTTTGAATAGAGGGAGAGTGAAAGGCACCCACTGAAAACAGGAGGCGAGACACTTTCAATTGGAATTTATCGTTTCATATTTACTTTTCAACATGGACCTTACGCCTTGTGCCGTGAACGAATAACAGTGGACGGGTATAGCGCACTCCATAGAAGTAAGTGGTCGCTTGAAATGGTCCAAAGTAATAAATCAAGAATCCCACGCGTGTTTATATTTCAATATTAAATTACATAAGTTAGAAACAGCGGTAAATTACATATGGTAAGGTTGCTGAACGCTTCTCAAGATAATAATCAGTCACTTCCTATCTAATATCTGTCGTTTATATCACACATTCCTCAGAGATTCGTTTCTTCTAAAATACATGGTTATCACCGGCAATTCGGCTGCAGTTCGTGGTTTTGTCCGGTTAGTGTGCGAGTACATAGATTACACAGCTAACTTCGATATAGTATATTGATTGTTATAAAAAAAAAAATATTTAGCACGATGAAAAGATAAAGTTCCTGACAAGTCTAGAAAATTGATTTAGGCAAGCTCTTTACCTATTTTCCATTAACGAAGTTTTGCTGAACGGCAAAAGAAGATATTTAATAGCAAAAGGATGTCTGCAATGGGTTGCAGCGAAAATGGTGAAGAACAAATAATTTGGAAGGAAAGAAAAAAAAGAGAGAGAAAAGGGAATGAACTACAAGGGGAGGCCGCCAATGTTCTTATTATGAGGTACTTACTTTTTCTCTTAAAAAGATACGCAAAGTATACATTTCTTTTCACACGGAAATTGCATATCATCTTAGTCTTAACCACAATGCATACAACCGTAGCTATAGAGATAGATAACCGAGTTTTCATGATCATGGTACTGTACTCAAGACAGAAGCGCATGCATGTGGTCCTCGTTTTTCCGGCACTTTTTTATTCGTCTGTCTTGTTCCTTCAACAAGTGTTCGATCTCTAAGAACGCAAAAGGAAGATTAATCTATCAAAGTAGTAAAATTTGACACATCATTAAAGTATTTTCTCAGGCACGCCATTGGTTCAAAACTACAATGAGACCAAACAGGCCCCTTGCTGAAGCAGAGGAATATGCGCTGACATTCCCCGATTTTAAAGAAATTGCGTTTGATATGAAGTCTTTCTGTAAAAGTTGCTCAAAGCCAAGGACACTTTTCGCTACTGTTAAAGGAGAAGCATGTTGGTTTGTTCCTATTAGTCACTTTAAAAAGTCAACATACTCTTGCGACAGTGCGGTGTTTGTAAACGTTCTGTAAAGGGCAATGGTTTGCGGAGCTCAAGGCCTCATAATTTCCAGCAAACGAGGAAGCAATCGTGCCGCAGCGCTAATAATGACGACCTACTCTCTCCATGGACAAACATCCAAGCACATTCGCACGTCACATGAAGGTGCTCAACGTTAATAAACTTCACAGAGAAAAAGTAAAGACCAACAATCAAACAAACGGTAATGGGCGCGACGTTGGAAAATTGGTGGAAAAGTTTCTGTCCTGCATCCCGACGGCTGAAATGAGCCGATTACGAATTACAAAGTTAAAGCTACCATACTGATAACTAACAGAGATTTTTCTCTGTTTGTTGTTTCTATCACTTTCACGTTTTACGAACAATGGGTCATATTGAATGATACGGTTCACTCTTGTTATGTTTCCTCCAGGAAAGTTAAGAAGAATTAACGTTCGGAAAATTTTAACCCAACATATTTTCGAATGATGAGTGTTTTATGAAGTCATTTATATTACAACAGACCTCTGTTTTTCTTGGTAAGTTGCTCCCCAGTTTGTGCAAGCGATCTCAAGATCATCTCGGCACGACTGTACACAGGTTCACCATCTGATGACTTTTTCCTCGCAGGTTCTTCAGCTGCAAAGTTCGTTGAAAATAATGTAGAGAACAAAGAAAACAAAGAAAGAAAGAAAGAAATGGAAGCAAAATCAAACAAACAAAAATGGAGAAAATATTGCGAAAAGAGGACTGTTGAGGTTTGGTGCTGTCAGATTTTCGCAAACCAGGACGAGGTGGAGTAGCAATTTAGTAAGCGACAAAAATAGGTCATTCAAACTAGAACTTACTCTCGAATTACAAGCATGCTAATGTGTGCCATGTGGTAGGTAAACCATGTAATTTTACATCGATTTGTTCCAGCCATTGTCTGCTCTTTCATGAAAAGCAAGGTAGCATCACTTCGACGCGCAAACATAGACAAGTCAAGATTCAGTATAAACGGGTCTAAGTAGGCTTTTATAGATCGCCACATATTAAGACTAAATATACCAACAAGCATATCACCTGCTGTTAAGATTCTGTCACTCTCTTTCCTTGAAATGAAATCTCCTCGTTTTTGGGGCTCATACTTACGTCGGGCAGACTCTGAATCAAGATTTCGTCTTCCTTCGTTTTCGCTTTTCGCGCGACTTGCCGTTTGGTAACGGCGCCAAACCAGACATTTCATTTGAAGTTGACTGATTACTTGTAACTGACAATGCGCTCGACTTTGGCTTCCAAGAACGAGCCGCGTTCAGGATGTCACGTAAGATAACAGTGTCCACAGTGGAAGTTGATCGGTCCATTAAAAGAGAGGTGACATCTGAGTGGTCACTGTGAATCGACGACGACGACAATGAAAGGGGCCTGTCAAATGCTTGTGAACGTTCGCTGACTGCATCACTGGATGCAATATCAACCCTCTTTGGAGACGAACTGTGTAGCGGAATTGCAAAGTCGTTGACATCGTCGCTGACCTCGTCGAAATCGCATCTGCTGCTGACTTTCGAATTCAGATCTGTTGATGAAGATGAACCTTCTTCTCTGTTGATTTCCTGCCTGTGCCTTCGGGAAATAAAGGGCTTAGAACGAAGATGCCCCTTCTCGGTTGCGCCACGATCTTTCCAGTCACCGTTTCTTGTTTGGCCTTGCTTTTCATCCTCACTTGAAGGACCAAAATTTTTCTTGTCAGAGGTTGTCTCGCCGACAGCACGCTGCTGCTCACTTTTTCCCACATATGGTTCGTCAGGACGCACGGGGCAGTCGTACAACAGCGCTCGCTCAGCAAGAGAACCCTGTGACGCAGACGGAGCATTCGGAGTCTTGGCTGGAGTCGCAGTTTGGGTGACGTGCGCTTGGAAACTTGAGATCAAGCTCCGCACTTCATGTAGTAACGTTTTCAGGTCATCTGTAACTTCATCGTTTTTCTTCGACGAGGCTTCACTTGTCTACGGATGCAAATATGAATTCGAATGGCTCAAGAAACTATCATATTTTAATCTTACGTCACAAGTCTCACAACAAACAAAGTACAAAGTAAAGAACTTTCGCTTAACCTCTCGAGAGGGCCCACTTTGCATCAGCTGTCCATTCTCCGATTCTGCCACTTCAGACTGAGAGCCCTGGGAAAGCGGTAGAGGTGTTGGGAAATGCTGAGGAATACCAGTCTTCTGAGTTAAGAGAACATTGGTGTAATTTGCTGGAGTGGTTAGCGGGGGCCACCTTCAGTAGGCAAATAGAAATTAACAAAATAAATTGAGGAGTAGAATTTTCTCTCCACCAAGGAGCAGCGCTTCAAGATTAATTTTTCAAAAAGTGGCCTTTTGGCGACCTTCAACCGTAAAATGGTTGCCAAAATAAACATTTGTTCATTTTTGTTTTAACCTGTTTGTCGCCAAATGGCCACTATATTTTTCACTTGCATAGCGACCAAGATGGTCGCAGCTTGGAGGGCTGAGGATTATAGACAGGTACTAGCGAATTGTCAGAGAAGCCTTATGACACGCTGAGGGGTAACCTTACGATGGACAGGTATCCACGGAGGAGCAGTAATGGGCCCGGTCGCCTCATGTAATAGAAATCGGGATAAGCTCTGATAAACAAATAAACTTAACCTTGTTGACGTTGACCAGTATATCAGTATCGACCAATCGACAGTCCTACTAACTTACCTGCCGACCGATTATGATTGTTTCATTACCAACTCCTTTTCCAAATATATTTGCACCCATTGGAAAAACTCAGTTTTATGTGTAAAGAACTTTAGCTTTCATTTTCGGTAAGGAGACTTTTCCTTACGCTGAAACTACTAACGACTAGCAGCAATAATCAATAGCAATAAATGAACTTTGACTTAAAGCTTATTTTTCGATCGATCATTGATGATGAACATACATCTGTGGATGGTAGTCTCTGTTCATGTTGCTATCAATTATTGACTTCAACCCTGTAACCAGGTGGACTGACTGGTTTTTAATTTCTCCTTACTTCCCCTGAATCACGCCTTAAGGTCACGAGAATAAATGGTCAACAACTAAAAAAGCGCCTTATTGTTAAGCAAAAGTTCCTTGTCGGTACCTGACGAAATTTGTACAGAAGAGTAAGAAGAATGTGCATACTGATGTTAGGGTATAAAGGGTTAAAGAATGGTGAATTCGAAAAGTTACACCGTAGGAAGTGTAAGAAGAATTGTTCACTGTGTCTAGCGGTGCAGGATGACCTTAACATGAGTTTTGGGGTATTTGTGTCATTAGAAAGCTTACTTACTTCCAAAAATAATCTCGAAAATGGACTAATAGGCATGTAGTAATCAGGCAGTAGAAAAAAATAATTGAAATATTCACCTAAAACCAGTGTTTAGTTTTGTCAACAGTTCAACTAGCGTTGCAGCTTCTGGTCTGACAGTCATGGGTGCCTTGGATGTCCGCTCAAGTTCCTAGAAGACAACATCGAAATTGTAGATAATGTAAAGTTACTTCTACATACCCAACAGTGCAAACGGACATGTCATACTCTGGTGTCGTGCACGATGATGGTATACCTTTATCTCAAGTGAGTGCTTCAGTTTAAGTCTTGCCATCTCTTGTTCCATCTTCTCGATGATACCCTGCGAGTCTGCATGCTTGAGAGCTGCCTATGAGGGAGGTATGACGATGTACATTAGGAATAAGAGACTCTATTACTGAAAAACGTATTGCCTCCTCAGCGGATGAGCGATTTCTGGGATGGAGGGGATAGAACCCCACCGTTATTTTCCCTACAATTTGAGGGGCACCGAATTAGGCTATAAACGATTCCTATTTTGCACTGAAATAAACACAAACTCAAACATGAACTTCCTTCGTATTTAGCTTTGTCAGTTTGCCTTAATCCTCATCGTTATTCTATCTTATTTTTAATGTCCAATGATGTCAACATTTAAATAGTGGTATTTAAATTATCATCTGTAATCGCCTAAATTATGCCTTTAAAAACTAGTCGTTGACAATTAATACCTTTTCAAGGGCCTGCTCCATGTGGTTGACTTGTTTTTTATACTCATCTTTCTGTTCTCGGACCTTCCGCAGCTCGAATTCCAACTGGTCTCGGCGACCTGCCAGTTTTTCTGACGTTTCTGATAATTCACTGCTTTTCCTTTCATAATAACGCGCGTCCTAAAAACCAAACGAATACCACAAAAGCATTTGATTTACGGTCGATTCGATACAGGTTGATTCAATACAAACTGAAGTCGATTCGATTCATTGATAAAGTCACCATTTAATAAACGTAGAACGTCATTTCGATACAAACTAGTGAAGTCCTTCGCCAATCTCTTCTCGCAGCAAGGTTTATCTCCGAAAAATTCAGTGCCGTCTTAACATCTTAAACTCCTTTTATTGGACTGGCAGACTGTTGAAAATATCTAATTACACCTTCACTGGTTGGTATCGAAATAACTGAAGTTGTATCGTATCGACTTGTATCGAAAAGGCGGACTGCAATCATTTAAAAGAGTGGCGCTTTCTGTTTGGACATAATGTAAATTTAAACCGGTTGAAAGGCAAATTGAAACGCTATTTGAATGATGATTTTCTTCTCAACGTTGAAAACGTAGAGTCATTCAGAAGAAGGACAGAGGCCAAAACGATGAATGTATGGGTAGCTGAGAGGTAGCAAGATAAGGGAGCTTTGACTAGATCATGAACATTTTGCCGGATCAAATTTTCGAAAACTCGCTCTGCGGATTACAGAGAAACCGAAGACAGGTTGCCCTAATTTTTTAAATTTTTTGAGCATGCTGCATAATTTTATGCGGGGGGTTAACCTTTGGCCCGTAAGACTGACTAGCAAATAATTTCTCCTCACAGTATCATCCCCGCATCACACATTAAGGTCACAAGAATGTAGGAAATGATTATCAACTAAAAAATCTCTTGATTGTTAAACAAATTCTCCTTGTCAGCCGCTTGGGAAATGTATAGAGGACAGTAAGAATATGTATACTGATATTAGTGTAAAAGGTTAGGACCCGGCTCTACATCGTGATGCACAAGCAAAGTGCAATTTACCTTGGAGACGTTATTGAGACTTTCTGTTAACCAGTGAATTCTACAAAACAAGAAGAAAAACAGTAGATTTGATTGTGTTTTTTTAGTCGAACTAACCAGAGAAAAAATAGAATGTTAAATAGAATCACACTGCGGATAACTAACTTGTTTTGCATAGCGTCAAGTTCTCCACGCTTAGCGGTTACCTCCTCTTGCATAGCATTTGCCACTCGTACAGCTTTTAAAACAAACAGAAGGCAAAACTTCTCAGTCTTTGAAGTAGGCGTACTTTAATTTAAATAAACTGCTTCAACTTGTGTTGTATGACAATGCACGTTGAGAAAAAAACCAACAAACAACATGACACAAAATGGACCTGATTCGTCATAAGTGCAGTTTGCAATTGAGCGTCGAAAGTAATCCGTGATTGCACTGTATTAACTTTACTTCGCTTCATGATTGGCCCAGAAAACTCGCTCCGCTTTCTCAACCAATCAGATACAAAACTAAGACAATCACGACTTAGTCACCCGCGTTTTCCCGCGCTTTAGGCAGTTTGGCTGCTTTTACTTTGAGATCTCACTGGCTCTTTCCTTTCCTCTGATCGGCCGTTGCGATTACTCGAAAAGCGCTCTCGGGGTAGTCTATGATAATCTTCTCCATCGGCCTTCCGGTGCCTTGTTTCTTCCATCTTTGTTCCTCGTCTTCCTCATTGTACTACTTATCAACGTTTTTCATTCCAAGGCAATCCTTACACATCGCAAAAAAGGGCAAACAAGTCGTGAAGCAGCGCCTTCAATATCAAACAACACACTTCGCACTTCTCACCCCGACTTATATTTCACGGTTATCACGTTAGTTGGAACCAAAATTTCCCGATCAGTGTCTGAGCAACTGCGTACCTACCTTCCCCCTACGCTAACAACTAACAACGGACGACAAGTGGGTCAGGGGAAGGGTAGGTTCGCAGTCCCCCGAAACTGACATTGATCCAAATTTAACAAAGAATTGAACAAATTGTACTTGGTTTACATGTATATGGTTATCACCCCACGCGGAATTTTAAGAAGAGACGAGAATTTCCATGGAGATTTTAGCTGTAAAGTAGCATTTAGCCCTCAAATAGTTACACAACAACTTAAAAGACGAACCGGATCACGGGTCATTTCGAAGAAACTTCCTATTACTTCGGAAATTCCTCAACACCGTCATCCGTTGTCCCAAGATACAAGGCGTTCAAACTGTGCTATGCAGCAATACTCACCTTTCCCACTCATATCACCTTTCGTTTTCAGAAGCTTTCGCGTTAAAGCTAAGTCCTGCTCAGAACCTTGGGAGGTAAACATAGGGAAAGCATACTTGTAAATAACACAGTCAATCAAACATATTTCTCAGTTCTCTCTCTTTCATTCTATACATCAGTCATATGTTAAAACACAAGTCTAAATTGGTAATTTGTTATCCCTGTGTTCGTAAATTTAAGAGTTTTTTTTAAGTAAAAATGGTTATCGGACCGACAAGCTTGAGCAGAGCTTACACAAATCTTTTCGTTCCTTTCATTCAAGCGGCAGAGGCATGAGCCATGCGAGGGCATGGGGCGAAAGGGAGCAAAAAAAGCGACGAGTGCGGAGGGGATTGGAGAAGGAGAAGGAGAAGGAGAAGGAGAAGGAGAAGGGGGGGGGGGGAAACCCTGATATCGAGCCAAGAAATTTGACTGCAGGCCTTCATTATAAGTGTTGCAAGACACGCGTTTCTCCAAAATGTAGGCGAAGAAACGAATATCACCTCTGAATCAAACATTGAAGTCATGAAAATGAAGGAAATGATCACCAATTACAGAAGGTCTTGATTGTTAATCAAATTCTCCTTGCCGGCACCCTAGTAAATGTACAGAAAACAGTATGGAGAATTATGGATCTTGTACTAAAATCAAGGTATAAAGGGTTAAAGCTACTATCGTCACCTTTTAATCGAGATAACAATTTGGTGATCTCCTTCTCGCGCTCTCCATGTTGTCCTTCGATCAGTGAACTCAGTGAATTGTTTTCCTCTTTCAACTTTGTCACTTCAATTTGCCGCAATTTCAACTCCGCCATGGTGTTACTTCGGTCTTCCATTAGAGCGTTTAACTCCTCTTGCTTAATATTCAAACTATTAGTTAAAGAGTTCCTTTCCTCTTCCAGTTCCTTGACACGTTTGTCCTTTGACCTCAATTTTTTTGCTAAGATTTCGCGATGACTCTTCATTTCTTCCACCTCGCTAATTCTGTCCTCCAGCGTTCGAATCAGTTGCTCCCTCTCACGTTGTAGCGAGTCACCCGTTTGACTGTTTCTTTCAATAATTTCAGCAAGGTTTGTTCCTTGCACTTGAAAATTCTCTATGGTCCTCTCTCTTTCCTTGAGTTGAGTTTGAAGTTTACTAACACAGTTCTCCGCTTCGGAGAGATCCTTTGATTTTACCTCTAAAGTTCTACCCAATTCTTCAACTTCTCTACGCAGATTATCATTTTCGTCGTGTCTTTTTTCAAGTTCCGCAGCTAAACGAATTTTTTCCTCTCTCATAAGGTTCATTTCCTTAGTTTTCAAATCTAGATCATCTTTCAATTTAATATTGTCTTCTCGCTGCTTCGATAAATCTAATTTTTTCCCTTCTAAATCAGATGTCAAGGTGGAAATACCCTGATTGGATTTCGTAAGCTCGTTTAATATACCATCCAGGCGAGCGTTCGCCTTCTCTCTTTCTTGATTAATTGCTCTTTCGACTTCACTTTCTCGAAGTTTAGCACTCTCTTCGCGAATGTCTTTCATTAGTTTATCTTTTTCACTTATATCAGTTCTTAAACTATTGGCTTCTTCACGGCACGTTTCCCGAAGAACCGCTAATTCTTTGCTGAGATCTTCGTTCTTCGCTTCTGTTTCTTGTCGAAGTTTCTCTGCAGCTCTAAGCTTCTCGTTCACAGAAATAACATTTGCTTGCTCTTGCGAAACACGCTCCAGTAAGTTCTGTTTCTCTTCTTTCACAACTTGAAGTTCAGCTGTCAATTCCCGAACAGTGGATTCCAATTCTTTGTTCTAAGGAGATGAAAATAATCCATTTTTACGAACAAGAACAAAGCTCTTCTCTCGAAAGTTTTGAGGTTTGAAATACTTTGTATTAAAGGTAACAGTACTGTGAAACAATGACAATTCCACGGCGGGGACCTCCGCTTAATTTTGAAACGTTACTTAGGCTCATTTTCAGTTATTGATTTTACAAAGAATTCAAGAAGTGAGTCAAATCATTCAAACCCCTCACACCACGCAATCATTCAGCTCGACCCCCTGTTCGTGCCGAAGTTAGAGCGCATCGCAGTTTGTTGACTTATGCCAGTAATTTAATGCTGAAGTTTTATCATAATCTGATAAAAGTTCAGTCATTTTCATGCATATAAAAACATTACGACCCCCGGTTGCACAAGTCTCGTATTCATGAACTACATGATGTTTGGAGATTACTCTTATCCAAGATAGGTTCAAAAAGTACACAACAGTTGAAAGTATTGATATTAATAACATACATACCTTTATTTCTAATTGCAGTGAGGTTTCGTGACTTGATTTTTTAGTCTTTTCCAGCTCAAGATGAAGGCATTTCATTTTTTCATCCAGTGCAGAAACTTCTATTTGATGTTGCCCTCTGTAAAATTAAGCATAAGAACTCAGATTGAGCATGGATCTACGTGTATTAACACCACCCACATATAAAGAACCCGGCTTTCGCAAGTAGAACAGGTACTAGAGTTACTCACCTGAGTTTATCTGTTTCTTCATGTAAACTGTCCAGCTCTCTCCTTAACTGGGCTGCTTTATTGGCTGAGGAATCTAACGCCTGCTTATGTTCCTCCTCCAGCTTCGATAGCCTAAAACAGAGGTATTACTCTTATTTGAAATCATTACATTTGTGTGGGTTGTTTTCGCTCTTAACACCGTATAAGCTCGGGCTAACAAACTGTATATCAGTATAGTTCATACAAGTGAATAGCGCTTTTGATACTAGCAAAGAGGAAATTACGAAGCAGGCGAAGAAACACAAAATGGCATCCCGTTTCAACAACGGATATCTATGTTACAAAACACCACATGAAGAAAGAGCAATCGGAAGTTTGAAAAATCTGCAGGAAATTTAAACTGAAATTTTTTGGCTGCAAGAAATCTCTGGCCGTACTTTCTCACCTGGCTTTGTAATCCCTTTGCAATTCATCTTGTGTGGCATCAATACGTTCTTTGCTGCTTCTCAGATCTGTCTCGACCTACAGAATGTACAGTGCACACAAACATTACATACTTATTGAACGAGATTGAGCGAGATACCGTGATTTTTTAGCGCACAAAAGATCACGAACCCAAATTGATAATTGCAGTTGATCTTTGAGATAGAAAGAAAATTCAAGTTTTCGTATGAGGTAACCCACTCACTAAGACAATCCTGCGTTCTTTTGTCTTGTCCTTTTATTAAGCGATTACAAAGTTTGTCGGTCACAAACATTATCAGAAAATCACTTTCTGCCATCTAAGAGAAGATTATTGAGATTGAGTGGAATAATTATGCTAAAGAACAATATCAGACGGCATTAAGCACGTGAAGAACAGCAAACATTTCTAGGCAGTTAATTGCAGTTTGCAACATGTACGTGGTGGACTCTCGACTTACAAAAAGCGGGCCCATTAGAACAATGTCAGTATCTTAGCAACTTCGTACCTACATGTACATGTACCATGCCTCCAATCCATAATAAACCTTAAATGCGCCTTGATATCAATCAACAGTTGTTAGGTTGAAGGAGGGGGGGGTTGGGTAGATGCACAGTTACCCAGATATTGGCGTTGATTCAGCGATTAATTTTCACTAACATTGTTTAATACAACTGAGTAATTTTCTTTGACGTTAAAACAAACCATGGTAGGTCAATAATCATACAGTACAATGGCGGATCTAGACCTTGAGCTAAGGAGGGGGGAGCTGTTTTTTGTCGTTTGCTTCGCCGGCTTTTCATCCTTCTGCGATTCTTTTTTTTCAACCCAAAATAAGGAGCGCCTTGATCCGCCACTGCTGTAACATAATGTTGCGTAAAATATGAGCGTGCCATCTCCCTTACCCTTTCTAACTTTGACTGCAGCGTTTTCTTCTCGTTATCATCATCAAAGAGACACTTTTGAAGGATTTCTATTAAAGCATCCCCGATCTGGCCGATAGCCACGTTGTTCTCCAATGCACTGGTAACTAGTCCTGAGCGGAATCTCTTCTTTTCTTCTTCCAGTAATATTCGTTTGACTTTGTCCAGGAAAACTTTATGATCTGCCAGCTCGACTTCAAGCTGTCTTTTATCAGATTCCATCTTAGTTAAAGTCTGAAATATAACGAAGCAAGTTTAATACAGTTGTTCTCGAGCAACGTAACTATATTGTTGATCTTGGTATTTTTTTTGGGCGCAAAACGCTTTAGGACACAAACAGATACCAAACTGTCTTAACCGCAGTATCTCGGTGGCAGTATCTCGTTCTCGCCTGCATTGCGGTGTTTATTGTCCCCTTCATTGTCGTTCTTTACCTCGGATCATCCAAGCTTTACAAGGGTTCAATGAAAGAAACTGAATTTCTTGCTGCGTGCGTGCTTCCATTGCCATTTCTTGTCTATTGGCTTCTTAAGAAAACCGTGAAACGACCAGGGAATGAATCTCTTGCAGTACAAGCTGTGAACAAAGATGTCATGGAAGTACTTCATGGTCCTTTCCGTCCACCGAGGAGCGACGATGGAGGGACGCTCTACTGGGAGAGCGTGCTGATTGGCCGAAGACTAATTCTCCTTGTTTTTCATTCGTTCATAACAAGGCCAATGGTACGAATGATCGCCATGGCTACAGCTTGCTCTCTGATAACAATCCACCATGTCTTAAAGTATCCATTTCGAAATGCGATAGCTAACAGAGTCGAGACATTGTCCCTTACTACTTTGTTAATTATTTCCATGATTAATCTTACCAAAGCAACCCTGATATCATTTGGTATCACGATCATCGGGCCTTACGGAAGTTTTCTTGATGTTATGGAATGGTTCGAGGTTGGTGTACTGGGGATTGTACCGGTATTAGTGTCCGTTTTGGTCATTAGTGCCATTCTCTCTCAACTCCTCCGCGTTTTGGTATTTCTTTTCGAGCAAGCTGGCAGACTTTGTCATCGGTCTGGCAACACTCATTGCTCCAGCGACGAACAGACAAGGCCCCTCTTGGATGCTGCTGAGTGAGAACGTCAAAGCGTTTTTTTCCAAGTTTTATCAAAAAACTTCGGAGAAATGATTGTTACAAGTTCAAGATAATTTCTTTCCAACTTTTACGGCAAACGTTTTTATTTTCTCTATGCGAGGATCAAAATAGAAAAGTTAAGGGTCCGAAAAACTCCGTTACAGGTGTGAAATAAATTCACCTTCAGTACAAAAGCAAAGAGATTCGGTTTAGGCCAAAGAACAAGTATACCTTTATCTGATAAGTATATTGATAGAAAAAAATGTTTTCAAATGGGCTGCCAATAGAGATCTAAATATTACGGTTTCGAGTTCTCATAAAAGCCTTAGTTTAGTTTCAGCTATTCTCACAGCTTTAACGGTCGGTGAAGTTGTACGACTATTCAAAAGTAGGAAAGTGTGTCACTCCATACCTGTGTCGAGTTTCGAGCTAGTTGGAGTAATTTTTGTAAATCTTATGGGGTGTGTAATACCTCATTTGTCAACCTAGCCTCTACTTTTTCGGATAGCAAAATAATCTTAATTATTCCATTTGCTATGTTTATAAAATACTTCAATGGCAAATTTTAAGTTTTTTGTCTAATTAATCGGAAATGTGACGAGATATTTTTCAACCCTCACAGAGTGTGTTGATTTAAAACCCCTACTAAACATTTTTCTCATATGTATCAACGCTTACTTCAGATATTTTTTAAGGCCCTCTGTCATAGACTCAGCTCTCTCTCCCCCCATTTCTTTTGCATATATACATATTTTAAAAAATTCCAACTTTTAAAGAAAATAGGCTCGAGTAATTCGGCAAGTTGTTTTTGTTTTTGGACCTGGAAAACTTGCTAATTGATGCAAACAATTGTTTGTAAAGTACGGCTGGATGTAACCATTTGTTTTATCGTTGTTGTAGTTGCTATTTCTGAAGTAAGAATTTGAAAAGTTGTCACGTATCCCTCTTTACAAGCTCAAAACTTACCATCTCTCTCATTTTATTTACAAACTATCGACATTGCTGGTCCCAGCAGTATGCAGGACGGGTGTTATGTGAACTTCGTAATAGACCTCGCTCACCATATAGTCTCTGTGTCTCAGTGGTAGAGCATCGGAGCGCGGAATCCGAAGGTCTGAGGGTCGATACCTCTTGGGGACTCAGAATTTTTTCTCTGTCCCACCCTCGTGACAAGACGAAAAACATATTTCTTTAGCTGTCATGTATGTCGTGTCATGTATATTCTGGATCGAAGGATATTTTTTAGAAATTTTGAACTCTTTTAGATCCTTCAATGTTTCCTTAAATGAAAATTAAAAAAAGAGAGAAAAATCCGATTTGCGATGGGTAAATTTTGTATTAAACTGCTCCGTGTGAGGCTTGAGCTCACGACCTTGGCGTTATCAGCACCACGCTCTGCCGACTGAGCTAACGGACCACACGCTAACGAAAGCGATTCTTGATGCAGTAAAAAAGGACCGTCGACTAATGGATGAATTAATTAATAAATAAGTAAATTTTTATGAATTAATACATAACTAAAGTAAAACAGCAGAAAAATTTATCTGTGTTTGTGTTCCTTGTTTTCTGCTTTTACTGGCAAAACCAGCGGCTCTCAATGGGTGACGGCTTTGACGGCTAACAGTTAAAATGTTGGCCAGTTTACCGCTAACGGTTTACATCTTTCCATTGTTATAACCAAAATTTTTAAAATCTGCCATCTTCCTTCGTTTGTTAATTAACGAAACTGAACGTGGAGCTCGGTGTCGGTAATTTTCGGTCTGCGTGTTTTGGTTAGAAAAGTCATTAGAATTACAAATTATTTATGAATTAAGAGAGTGTCTCTGTAAGAGCGGTCCGGTCGATTTTGCTTGAGACACGGAATTCGCTCATTTCTTGTGTGTTGTAAGACATTCATGTACCTACACTAAAACCACAATCCGTTTGATCGGATCTCTTTATTTTTCAGAGTTTTACGGAAATTAAATTTCACCCGAGCGAAGGCTTGTCGTGACACTTTTCAAGACTTTAATTTCAGACAACTTTGGAGGACAGTTTACAAAAAACTACGGAACTCAGCAAAAAACAAATACCACAGCCATGTATATTAACTCTATCTTAACTATCGAGGCGACTTTTGTAAACATCACGTTTCAATCAAGGAAACAGGAAGACTTGAATGACACCTTATCGGTTCGCTTAAGTCGCACACGCCAAAAGCGATCAAATTAAAAGTAAATTTTCGAAAAAGTGAGGCGTTCTTAACTGATCCAACTAACATAGCTAGGAAGTAGGTGCCATAGAAAAGGTAACTACAGCAAGGCAAATTCCAAAAAAATTTAAGTTCTATTCACATTCAAGAAAAGGCTACCGAGTCATTTAGTAGAAAAGTCGCCTTTCATCAATGTAGAATTTCCCTTGAAATTTTTTTACATTATTAGGATTTATTCAGTCGAACTTCTAGTTAAGAGCCGCTCAGACTAAGTGATGTACTCGTGTCAACTGGTAGAACTAAATCAGCAATACAACTCGTGCAGCTCTCTGATAGAGCCTGAGACGATATCAACCAAAGGGAATGCTCACCTATAAATGTACTCACAAAAGAATGGTTCTCTTTACCTTCTTTACAGGGCCATTTATCTCATTCCTCTCGGGGCGGAACCTTTTTCTTCATCACGAAAATAACGTCTTCGACCCCCGACGGCCAGCGTATTTTACTGAAAACTTTGCGATTGTTGATGAATATAGCCGGAATAACAATTGCAGCCAATAATCGGCTAGATTGTCGCAGATTTGGCACGGAGTTACGTTTTTCATGCCTATCTGGATAAACATGCATGAAGAAGAATGACAGGCATTTTGTGTTCTGAATGCGAACTTGAAAAGAGGAAAAAAAATTAAGAGTAAACGAGCTCATGGATATAAATCTTTATTTCGAAATTGTATGAATAATTAATTGAAACTTGGGCCAGATTTTCGCACAGCACCGTATTTTATTAGACGCTGCAGCACTTCTCAAAACGCTGCAGCACGTCTTATCACTGGAACTAAACGATACGAGCACATCACACCTGCCCTTTGAGAACTACACTGACTGCCTGTTGAGTCACGGGTTATGCTCAAAGTTCTGCTCATCACTTTCATGATTATCCATGGACTTTGTCCAGCCTACTTGTCATCCCTCCTTCAACAACTACCCGCAACGAAGCCGACGCTCATCCTCTAAACTACTTTTTACCGTCCATACTGTGAACTCTGTGACATACGGTAAACATGCCTTTTCTTTCTCCGCACCTATATTATGGAACAGTCTACCGGATTCTGTTAAAAATACAACATCTCTTTCATCTTTTAAATCTTCCCTCAAAACATTCTTGTTTCGGAAGTTTTGTTTTTGATTTATTTTACGAGTAACTGTACCTAGCTTTCATGTCACATAATTTTTAATAAATTATTTCATTTATTTTATTTATTACTGTTATAAGAAACATTTTTTAGGTTTTAACTAATTTATTTTTTCTATATAGTAATGTAAGCGCTTTGATTTTTCTAAATGCGCCCAAAAAACTTTATTATTATATATTATATAAAGTGTTCTTGGATAAAGAAAACAATTGCAGAAACAATATTTGCCTCAGGGACTAAGGCTTTTCTGTTTACAATAGTATGGGGCTGTGCAGAAAATCTTACCTAACAAAGCTAAAATCAAGAGATCTCTTTATTATTCTTTTATCAACCCTTCCAAACGTCTTCCAAGTTATCATGAAGACTGATGTGACATTTTGAGTGACGTATCAGGGATCATAGCGAAGAGAAAAGGGTGTAGTAAGCATTAAGTGATATTGGTGCCACGCACGTTGACTACGGAATGAAGAGTAATGATTATTTCTTTTGCCTTTTTGACTTTTCAAACAAAGGAATAAAGAAATTTTTTTTGTTTCATCCATCTACTGTTAAAGCCATTGATTTTTGTAACATTCCTAGCCTTGTTACACTGCCTTCAAAAGAAATTTATGTCGTGTATTCACAGCTATTCTCGAAGGACGGCGAGTCATCTGCTATTAGTGTGACAGGTATTCGCGATCCGCAGTCTTTACCAAGATCTGTTGGATCATAGT